TCTAATCTACTATAAAGATAACGCAACCCAATAAGATAGCACAAAACAAAGCCGAAACTGAATGAAACAAAAACGGAATAAAAAATCGTTGTATCAATTTTCTCTTCCTCAGGGCCGACAAACTTCAAACCTTTAGTCAACCATTTTTTCCAGTTTGCCTGAGAAATTTCTAGGGATAGGCAGCTTGAAACAAAAACAAGATAAATCAAAACAATAACACATTGTTTTTTGAGTTGGTCACCCATTCTTTCGCTCTTCCTCAGGGGCGAGCAATTTCACTTACCTCCAAGCTTCAGAAGTTCCCCGTACGAGCCGCCAAATGCCGCAGTCTGGCTGGGCACAAATGCCGCAGTCTGGCTGGGCACACAATCACGAGCCACCACACAGCTTGTAGATTCAAACAGCAACTCTTTATTCCCGAACTCACACCAGCCGTCTACAATCACGTTCTGGGGAAATCCACTTTCTCTGCCCAAATCCACGTTCTCTGCCCAAATCCACCTCCACTGGGCTTCTATCTCCAAAATATATTGTCTGAATCCCGTGAGAACTCAAGGGGAACTCAGGCAGCAGGATACGCCCTATTCCCAGCAGGAATAATCTTAAACCTTAAACCTGGAACCTAAACTGGGAACGCCCTAAACAAGATTATCTTAAAACCGGGAACACCCTAATCTGCCTTGGTCCTTGAGCAAGGTTAAGTACATTCAATGTCACTGCAACATGGGGTACGCTGGCAAGGAAATTGTCATACCTACTTGGCTAATGGCTCCCAGCATCATAGGAGGTGAATCCAGAGGCACTTAACCACTGAGCCACATTCCCAGCCCTTTTGATTTTGAGATAGGGTCTTGCTTAGGGCCTAAATTGGTAGGGCTGACTTTGAATTTACAATCCTCCTGCCTCAGCCTCCTGAATTTCTGGGATTATAGGAATGCATCACAGCAACCAGCTTCACTACAGTGATCTTTTACACTAAAACTTGGTTATGTAGATGGGTAATTATAAAAAACGCAAAAATGAGAAGATTTTCAAGTTGTGCTGGCACATGTGATACATTCATGAATCTATAGTATGACTGAAAAAACCCTTATAATTCCCAGATTAGACAATTAGATGTTTTCTAATTTGGGATATACCACCTCAAAACTAAAAGGTAGGGGTGTGGATGTGGTGGTGCATGTCTGTAAATCTAGAGGCTAGGAATGCTGAAGCAGGGGCATGATAAATTTGAGGATTATAAGTTTGAGGTCAGCCTTGGTGACTTAGCAAGATCTGTCTCAAAACAAAAACTAAAAAGGGCTGCGGATATAGCTCAGTGGTATAATGCCCTTGGGTTCAATCCTCAGGACAAAAGAAAAAAAAAAGACAAAGTAAGTCTTCAAGAGAAAACAATTATTTAATGCTGTCTGCTCTCCCAATGTATTTATTTGGGACTAGTAGTTTCAGTTCTATCTAGTTCAGATAAGTGGATTGTTAGGAAGTTCCTGGAACAAATATAATGAAGGTATTTTCAATTTTCCTTCCTGGACAAGAATTTCCTGGAATAGTGAGCTCATGTTGATAGAGCCAATCCAATAGTCACTGTTTGCCCAGAGACAGTCAACCATGGCCCATGTACACAGACAGGTGTGTGGATGTGGATGATTCTGGTCCTGAGGTCTTTGATGAGGCACCAGATGCGAAAGTTCTCTTCCATGTTTTTGAAATTCAAGTGCATTAGTCTATTTACAAGGATTTTTTAAGAGTTGAAAGTTTGATTCTTTAAAAGCATTATTAGAGTGACATATCCCATTTGTACTTTAAAATAGCTAGCCTATAAATCCAAAGGATTTCATTTAAAACTGAAAAAGGCAATCACTCAGAAAGAAAATGACCACTTTTACATATGATAATACATATCTGAGTGGAAAACTCTACTAAAACAGCTGCTATTTCTTAAGAGCAGGGATCTTTACATTCTCTTTATGTCTTAAAATATTTAATAGCTGGTAAAGGTCACTGGAAAGTGTCCTTTAATTTTTTGGGGGCAATCCCAAACTGTCATACACAAAGCAGCTAATGACAGAACAAAATAATTATGTTGTTTTGCTCTAGAAAGAACCTGAAAAATGAATTATTTACATTTTTCTTATTTTGGGCCATTTTGCAATGCATATTAAAATATTCAATCCCAATTCATCAAATAAATTATGAAGACATCACATTTTTATGATACGTCTTTACAAGAAAAATACATTTAAGATAGCGTGGTCTAAATGTGAAAATGATACTTCTTTGAACAACTTTTTCTGAAGTGTTGATGGAAAGACCGTCTCCTGCCCAATGACTCCATGATTAACAAGGCTGGGACATCGGTCAGCCTGAGAGGAGTTGGCTGGAGGCAGGAATAGAGTCTGAAGGACAGGAGCTCATCTTTGGGTAAGAATTAAGCAGAATTTTGCTCTTGGTACTTATTTTTCTAGGGCATAAAGCAAATTCTTTGTTCTTCTTAAGCTTCAGTTTCTATCAGTTTAACACTGATCATAATAATTCCATTGCAATGAAGCTATGAAGCCTAGAAGAGAGAATTTAGGCAGGAACTTAATATTAGCAGATAGGCATAGATTCACTGGGATATATGAGGGTCCTAGCACACCACTTAATCTCACCAAATTCTTTCTTTCTCCAGATGAGACAACATCTGGCACAGAACCTAAAGCCGCTAGGTCCACAAGTCTACTTGCTCATTTCTGAAAATGCAGGCCAGATGAGTTCTGCCATTATCCTGACCATAGTAAAACTATACGCAGTACTACAGTTTTCCTAAAAGCAGGGGAAAGAAGCTGTGGTTTGCTTTTCAATTGAATGAACATGAGGTCGAATTTTGTCTGCACGTTTTTCTAGTTTTATAGTCTGGGGCAAGTTGCTAACTTTTTTTTCTAACAGTTTCCTCATCAGTTAATTGAGTGTAGTAATATCAACTCCACAAATTTGAGGATTTTGTGAGATGAAGTCTACAAAGCATCATTGATTGTGTCTGACAGTGTAGATAGTTATTAGCCAATTAAATCTGCTCACTTTATAATTATCTGCTGAATAATGAGAGGAAATAGCAGGGTACTGCTCCCAGACTACCATCAAATGGATGTAATGTGTGGAAAGAGACATAGGAAAACATTAGTTTTTATGAATATTAATAAAATATTTATGGACCAGAACAAGTTAATTAAAACTTTTTCTAATGGGGTAGATCAAGGAATCATTCACCCCTTTCTTTTCATTCAGGATTTTTGATTCCAATAGGAGCATTTTAGTCCTATGTCTGAAGACCCCAGGATTTTCATATCATTTCAAAATGATTAAGAAAAAAATTGTTATTCTTATTATGCCCCAAATATACAGCACTGAACACAACTTTAGGAATGTTAATGGTTTGAATTCATGGACCAAATTGTCTATAACAGACATAGGAATCCTAACATTCTCTGATTTTAACTCTTCTATTTTTTTAGGGGGAGGTGATGAGAGAGGTATTGGAAGGCGAACCCCAGGTCTCACACACATTAGGCAGTACTCTACCACGGAGCTACCTCCCAGACCTGATCTTAAGGCTTTCTTTAGCATGCTGACATCTGTTTGCAGATATTTGAACTCTGAAGCCAGGCAGTTTATACAACCCCCTCTCCCACTTACCTGGGCTTTTTGCTACCTTTCTTCTCATTTCTAACCCTCCCTTTTTTTTTCCCTTTGCTATTTTAAATATGTTCAGCAGCTCCTTCCATGTTTTATCATACTGCTTTGTTTTGGTGCATGAGGTTCCTGCTTTCTACAATGACTTTTCTCAAATGTTCCCTACTAATCTGGAACCAGGACTTTTCTCAGGAAATCACAGTGCTAGGAAACCCTTGCACTACTTCCATAGGAGCTCACGTATATCACAATCATAATGCCTTTTGCTTATCTCCTCGTTCCCTACCCCTTAGGCTGAAATCACAGGGAAGTCAGGAAGTAGGCCTGGCATCAGCGTGCATCTCATTGAACATCTGTTGTGTGATTGGGTGAATCCTACTCATCATGCCTTCCTTATTTCCCATAGCAAGGGCACTCCTCTTATGAAATGTTGCCAGCACTACTCACTGATATAAAATCATACTCAGGGTGAGATGTAAAGATGTAACTCAGCAAAGGGGAAGCTAAGAACCTGGCTGAGCAGATTTTCATCTTGTGGTTCATTTTCAAAGGCTATATCACTTGCACATCTTGTACAAGTTAACTTGGTGACTAAAAGAAAGCTATGCTGTTTATTAACTGTCGTGTGCCAACCCTTGTTATATAAAGGTCTACCCAATACAGCCCTGGCTTTCCTGTGGAGACCTAAACCATTTTGCATATAAGTGATAACTAGTCCCAGAGAGGTGTATATCTGGGCAGAAACTAGAAAATTAAGTTAGGTTGGCTGTTTGACATTAGGTGACAAAAAACACACAAGAAAATAGGGGTTGTCAAGAATTATCACTTTTCTTTAATAGTTCAACCAGCTCTCCAGGTACAGTGGTATACACCTGTAATCCCAGGGACTCAGGAGGCTGAGGCAGGAGGATCTCTACTTCAAGGTCAGCTTCAGCAATTTAGTGAGGCCTAAGCAACTTAGTGAAACCCCGTTTCAAAACAAAAAATAAAAAGGGATCAGAAGGGTGGAGCTTGTATCTTTGTGCTCACTGAATCTGGGTGAACTCATGCTAGTGAAGGTGTCATTGTGTCCAAGGCATCTCTGTTCTGGAGAATATGCCACACCAAGATGGTGACAGGTCGCCCACTGGCCAAAAGTCCTCCTCACTTGGGGTAAAAACCTAAGCCAAGCAGACCAGCTGTCAGAACAAAAGTACAGTTGAACTACTCACAGACCGGGGCACATCTACCTCATCAGGGCTCCTTCTGGAACTGAGGGCTTTGTGGGAGGTTAACATAGGTCTCTATGTAGTAGCCATATAGTAGCCTGAAAATGATCACAGCCAAACTCATTATCAATTTTTATTTCCTACCATACACCAAATGTACAGCACTGAACACAATTTTGTTGCTTTGATGTAAGAAATATTAATTGTTTGGAGAAACAGGATACAAACAAACTACCTCAAATTAAAAAAAATGCATACATCATTGCCATTTTGTTGTTTACAAAAGACCCAATTTACAGTATCGATCATTAACATAGTTGAAAAGAAAAAAATCAGTGCACATTACAAAACACATCAAGTACAAAGGAGGCAAATAAATACCAACATACTTCACAAAAACATCCTGTTCAATCTATGCAAACACAAATAAATTAACCTGAAGTCATAGTAAATTATAGTAATAAATACATAGGTTGGTAAGAGATTTCTTTTTAAATTAAATAAAATATATAACAAACTTGTTAAAATATTTAGCAAATTAAACTTTTGTCTTTGTAATAAGTGAACTCATTTGTATGCATCTATGAAGTACTGTATAGCAAAATGTTTGCAAGTACATAACTTTAATAGAAAATTTGTTTGGTGTCCCATTTATAATAGACAGCACATATGGTAGCTTTTTCTTTAAAATTGATTTTTAAATAAACACCTTTCCTACCTAAGAACAGACATTTCATCTTCACTAAACTAAGATTCAAGAGTTCAAATGAACCCCAAACCAAAGAGAAGCCCCACTTGATGCATAACAATGACCACAATTTCATGGAGGTGGAATTACTGTGGAATATCACTTTTCGTGTTTTTGTGCAGGTAACTTTAGCAAGAGTGGAATATATCAAGCCTGTGAATGCCATCACATTCAATCTAAATATCCATGAGGCTAATCAAAAATAAACACTTTTGTTATAGCACAGAAAATTAAGCCCACACTAAGTTCATGTGTACATTTACACTGAGGCACGTCTGCACATGAAATGTGTGTGCACACCAAAAAGGCAGTTTAGCTGGTTGTCTATACCTTTTCCTTAAAAAAAATAAATATAAAAAAACTTTTGAAACAATGATTAACTACTTTACAGTCCCTGAAATAGACATTGCCTTTACTATAGCAACTACTAAACTCTGACCCATTCAGAAATTCAAGATCGCGGGCTCAATTTTATGTGTGGATGGGTGTCTGTGAGAGTGTGTGTGTGTGCGTGCATGCCTGTGTGTGTGAGTCTGCCTGTGTGTTTGTGTGTGTGAAAGCATGTGGATGCTTTGTATCAATGGCAAGGTTTTTATCAAATCGAATCCTATTTCCTAAGGATGGTGATACCAATGTTGCCAGTGTTCAAAGTAATCATTCAGATTGGAGTAATATTTTTTTTTTCACATTTTACTCTATTTTCCATTCCTTTCCAGTCAAACCCAGTAGGATAAATGCTATTTCAGGGGATATGGTATCTACAAAATTTTCCATTTGGATGTGTTTGCATTTGCTAAGTACAAATCTACACCAATGTTGTCACTTGTATATTGTACCAACATATGGCAGGAAAGCCTGGCTGGTCACATCAAGTGATTATTTCTCGTCTTAGGATAAGAGTTGCCAACTATGTGATATGACTTGAAAAACAGACAAATCTGCATCACTAAAAAATGCTTATGTTTCTTTAAGACATTTCAAATAAATAATTCATAGGAACTAAAACCACACAGCCAAGCTGAATACTTTGCTGATTGCTATATTTAATTATTGCTAACAAATTCTGAGCAGGCTGTTTTCCAGTGTCTGTGCTTCTGTGAGTGCGGATTCCCCACCAGTGGGCGCCATTTATCTTCTTATTCCTTCCACGCAGCTCACCTTACTGCAAATTCAATTATAAATACAAAAACCAGTGGAAGAGGGGGAAAAAGAAGTGTGCAATAAAAATCAAACTCGAACCATAGTGCAGTCCTTAGACAAGGATTTCTTTCACACTTTTTTTGTTTTCTCATTTTAACCCAGCAAGATAGATGATTTGAGAATAGCATTTCTATTTAAGTCCTATTAGAAAATAAATTAATAAACACACTTGTAAAAATATGGCAGACTTCAAAATGCAGTTAAAAGATAAAAAACTCTTTGATTAGTAATAAATAAAATATAAAAATGTCACATTTATTTTACATATACTTTACAAAAGAAAGAGTGCAATGAAGAAATAAAAGAAAAACATATGAAAATAAATAAGATCTAATCACTGACTGCATTGCTTTTAATCCAAAGAGTCTATCATAGTTTTTCTTTCCTTTTTATGTCAGCTGGGGAAAAATTAGTGCAATGTTGCAGTTGTAAATGCATATGGCAACCTCCAAGCCTTAGCAGTACATGAACCCCTTCACAGGTCCATCTGGAGTTGACTGCTGTTGGTGATCTCTGTTGCCCGGCAGCACTGTGATCCTACACATGGATACCCTTCACTGCCTGTTTGATACTTTCCAGGAGAGCTTTGCATTCCGGGGAATAGTCCCGCTCCAGATTGCTGTACATGTCTGTGAGTGTATTTACATATGCTTCAAAATTCTGCTCACTGATAGGTCCCTAAGTGGAGACAAACACATTGAACCAATCACTGTGAGGCAAAAGGAAGATCAAGTAACAAGAAAGAAGGTGAGTGACTCAGGATCTGGGAGGGAAGGCAAGGATTCACCTAGTTACTGGAGTTTGGGAAAATGGAGAGATCTGAGTGTGTATTGGGACTTATTTGTTTCCTCTTTATGGGATTACAGAAATGTGATTGTTTGAAACATTATTGCAGGTCAGTTTGGAGCCAAATAAGGTGCACTGCTGAGCTGAACTCAAAACTGGGTTATTTCTTTAGGGAGGAGCCGTGGCCTCAATGGAACTTGTGCAGCACAAAACGCTTCTCCTTGAGGGAAGTGGATGTTTGAGGTTGGGAGGGCAGGTTTGCTTGCGCCAGTAGGCTCTTTTAACAGTGATGGGCCAGGGTTTCAGAAATTAAGATCTGAGCAAACTGCTTACCAACCAGTTGGGATGGAAAATATTTCTACTTTCTCCTCAGATGCCTTTGTGTCCATTTTTCTTTTGTCGCAACATTGCAATATATTTTATTATCTCTCTGTCTCTTCAGGTAGAATACCAGTTTCACAAAGTTGAAATTCATTCACCTTTATCCTATTTGTTGTCTCCTTTGTCCAATGTGAAGCTTCAAAGAGTACACACTGACTAGATCTAAATGGCATGCATGAGTGACAGGAGGTTCATGGCACAAAGGGAATCCAACTCAGCCACTGCTGGTGCCTCCATTTCCCCCTTTTGAAAGACCCATGCATGACATACACCTTACTTCAGAAGGTGCTTGGAAGAAAGTACTCTCAAAGGTCTAAGTACTATAGATGTATGATATTGTTGTTGTTGTTGCTATTTAGAAGGCAAGCTTTCTAAATTTGAAGAGTATTTGTTCATATTCAGCAAAGTACTGCTCTAGATTATTAATATTGTCTAGTCATAATTTTTGGCTCTCTCTTAGTTTCTGCCTTTTCTGTGCCATTCTCTTAACAAAAGGTTCTGGGTGGCAGAGCAGATAAAGGTTCTAGCATGAAGCCAGACCCACCTGACTCATGCTGGCTTTGGAACCTTGATCAAATAATGGAAGAGTCCCTCAACTACAGAAAGGGAATGTCAATGGCAGTCCTTAGGGATGTGATCATATTAAAGAATTACCAGTGGAGTACTTTGTATAGCGATTATCAAAGGTATCAGTTATCTTGTATGATATCTATCTTTTTTATGGCATGGGCTGAAGAAAAAAAATTTAAATTTTAGAAGGGCAAAATTTTAGAAGGGCAAAATTTTGCCATTCTAAAATTTAAAGTATGAAGTTGATAAATGTTGATGAATAACATTAAAATGATATCCAGTAATTATATGAATAGTAGCCATAAAAATAAAAAAAATTTCCTTTGGACTACTGTATTATTGATTTTTTAGGTCAAGAAACACATTGGAATTAAAATGAAGGCTCCATTCTAGAAAGCTGAGTAAATTGAGGTATTTGTTTTATTTTAAGCAAAACCAACTATATTTCTTAATTATATTGCTGCATCTTTAAACCATTTTATATACAAAATTGGAAATTTTAGAAAACTTATTCTAGGAATGTAAGTTTGGAAGAAATTAAAAATATTCAATAATACATCTCCTCCAAATATTTATTTATATTTATAAAAATGTAAAATAAACTTTTTTTAATGAATTCTAAATAGTTGCATACTTAAAAATACATGTTTAGATTTTGGAAGTAAGAATGCTTTCTTACTTCTGTTTTTATGCTGTCTGAGAACTGAATTATGTTCTGCATACTTACGTATGAAACAAGTTTATTGGGAACTTAACTTTTTAAAATAATTCTTGAGTTGGGCAGATAATGCAAAGTCTGGGTCTCAGACTTTGTAAGATATGAAATTTTACACTTGGAAATATATTTCAGTGAAGATGTTTTGTTCTCTAACTTTCATATTATATTATAAAACAAGCTTTGAATAAACCTTCATCTTTAGATGAACTTGGTCTTTAAGAATATCCTTAGCCTTCCTATAAGTTAAATGTACCTATCTACCATCTTTCCATCACGGGAGATTACTGGGAGTAAGACCTTGATGTAATCAGCAGATCTCTGTGACTGCTAACAGATCTCTTTGCTAACTGGCAGCCCCATGAATAACTGCATGATGTCCCTGCAATACCTGCAATGGAGCAGCAAAGTCTTGGTCTTCAACTTACCATTTGTGGAAGCTGGATGTCAGCAAGGCTTGAAATGAGAGCTTGACTCAGACCTGCCAGTTCCTTTAGCAGACTTTCATTATTCTGTTCTATGAGTTTGTTCTCTTCCTCTATTGTCTTCAAGTTGGTCTCCATTGATGTGATCTAAATGGAAATAATATAGGAACACGAGAAGTAGAGTTTGGGAGGAGTACAAAAGGTCTGTCTCTGAAGGAAAATGCACGGCCGAATATAGGAATGCATATGCCACTACCGCAGTGCTCCAAATTGCATTCCCATCATATTGCTCTAAATGTTGGAATAATAATAATGATAATACTTAACAATTGTATAATTATCATATAGTAATTATTTAATCATACTAATAATTAATTATCACATAAATATTTAATCATAATAAATAACTTAAGTAATTATATTAATTATTATATAATAATATAATTCCCAGACTTATATCTTCAGCCTAGATTTCTCTGTGGATTGCAGATCCAGTGTCTCCTAATGACTTTATGTTAAATATCTCAAACTCAATTTTCCTCAAAGCAAATATTTGCTATTTCCTCCAAACCTGCTCTATCTAGTCTTCTCCTTTCTAGTTGGTGGGAATCCCAGTGATGCTCAGACTTCAAGGTGTCCCCAGGACTCTCTTTCAAACCTTGAATCCATTGGGCATCTCCTTTAAGACTACAGAATGGGACCACTGTCCCCACCCATGTGGCTGTTGCCATGCTGCTGTCACCTGTGCAGACTGCATGGTTTTTTCATGGGTGGTCCTATGTCTGCCTAGAGCCTCATGTAGTCTCTTCTTGATCCTTTTTTAGCATAGCCACCAGAACAAACCTCTTCAAATGCAAGTTAGAATCTAAGCCAAGTAAGACCGTGCTACTCCTTAGCTCAAAACCTGCAATGGTTCTGCAGTCATTCAGAAAAATACAGAAAGTCATTAAGATGGCCTATGATGCCCCATGTGAGTGGCCCTCGGTCTGCTCAGCTCACTCACCTGCAGACACATTTCCTCTTTGCTATTTCTCAAATCTCCAGCCCTTGGTACTTGGTGTTTCTTTCTGTCTGAAATATTCTCTTTCATAACTATTTGGTTAATTCCTTCATACCTCATCTGGCCCATCTGGGTCTGGTTGTCCTATTTAATATTGAAATCCAGACACTTAACCCATTCCTCCCTCCTTCCAGCAGACTTTATCATGTATGATTTTTTTTGTTACTTTCTATCTTCCCCTTCTAAATTTCAGTCTCCATGAGGACAGAGGCCTTTGCATTTCTTGTTAATGGTTCCCATGAGAAGCTCCCGTGATTTCCAAACCAAAGCATTAAGCTTTTTGTGGACCTGACTGCCATCATGGGAGATTGTTGCAGTGTTCACAGTGCATAAAAACACCAAAATGGCATTTCAGATGAATTATGACAGTCTTAAGCCACCTAAGCTGAGGAATACTGGGAGACTCCATAACCATGGTGGCATAAAACCCTGCATTTCAGGAAAGGAGAGGAAAGAAGGGAAGGGGGAAGGACCTTTCCACCTCTGCTTGGGCTCATTGTTTTTTCTTCTGACTTGTAATAGTTATTAGTTAGTATGAAGATGTCTGGAGAAGTTGTGGAGAAGGCCAGGCTGAAGACAGAATTCTGGGAATTATATAATAATAATAATTATTATTATTCCATCACTTATTATATTTAAAAAATCTTGGTCTTAACTTTTGATTTCCATTTGCAAAAATTTAATCAGGGGCAGGCATTATGGAGAATGAAAAGTTGATAAACTGCTTAGATTTTTGGATAAAGCATTTGTTCAGGAAGACCTGTTTCTAACAGACACTTATATATGTAGAGATATTCTAGAAAAATTAAGCAGTTGTGATGTTTCATTTTAATTTTAAATAAACCTAAGGACACTTAACCCTCATGATTTTTTCTGAAGCACCACATGCTCTACAGGACTCTTTACAGAATGATCTGCTACTTTATTTGTTTATGAAGGCATTGATTCAACTGGGGCAAAAGTGTAACTTTGCCTAAAGTTACAAATCAATGGTGCTCTGAGATGATCCACCTGTTCAGGATTTTACAATAACTGTGTATTCAAGAAAGTCTCGGCGTATTCCCTATAAGATGTCAGGATATTTCTAGGCTTAGAAAGATCAATGTTTTGCTTCCACTAAATATTATAATTATTTTAAAGATAACTAATTTGTTTTATTTTTACCTGAGTCTGAAGTTTCATCATATCTGCTTCAATTTTAAGGTTAGATTCATTTAGTTCCTTTATTTCTTCATCCAAATGCCTAATTTCTTCATCACCTTCTATACCTGGGAAGAATTCAGACTTAGTTCAAAATGAAAATATGCAGTAGTGGCAATTGTGAATCATTTTACATCTAATTTGCCATTTGATCATTGAAACTTGAGACTTTAGTGTGAGCATTTTCATCGCAACCTGCATATGAAGGATTTTGAATAAGTGGTTAAGAAGAGTCGTGGGATTTAATTCTTTGCAAGGAAGAAAAGAGGAAATAGAAAAGTAGACTGTCAGCTCAGTTACATTAGCATCTACACTTCTCTGCCCACTGTGGGGCATGTCGCATCATCCACTTTTCATATATAAAGACTCAGGGCTTCAGAACAGTGAAAGGAGACCTCAGTAATCACTGACAGAAGTTAAATAACATCAAGTTTAAATTCCGAGATGGAGCTGGTCTAACCTCCAACTCCTGTGAGTTCTCTTCTCCTTGAATTTGGGCAACTTATTTAACTTCTTTTTGTTTCTAGTTCCTCTTCTGAAAAACAGGCATAGTATTATGCAGTGAGAATGAAAGCAGTAAAATGCAAAGCCCTGAATCAGAGTAGACTCTGACTGGATAGGCATTATCTCCATCATTGCTTTTTTTTTGTTGTCTGTCTTTGCTGGGGTGCTAGGGACTGAACCTAGGACCCTGCACATGTTAGGCAAGTGCTCTCCCATTGGGCTCCACACCCAGCTTTTTTTGTTTGATTGTTTTATTTTGAGGTACAGTCTTGTTAAGTTGCTCAGGCTGTCCTCCAACTTATGATACTCCTGCTTCAGCCTATAAGTCGCTGGGAGGTCACTGAGTTTACAGGTGTTCACCACCAGCCTGGCTCTCATCGACATTTCACAGGAGCATGAATTGGGGAAGTGGGGAATGGTAGTTGATATTATGAATGCCACCAATAGGATTAAAGGTAATTTCCCAGGGCAGAAGAATGAGTTTAAATCAGTGTTGACAATGAAGAGGGATAAATGTAAACATTGGCAGTTAGATTTAATAAGAAGTTTCATGAGAGCAGGCTACAAGCATGGGGCTTAGCTTGACAATTTGTTTGGTGGAAATCCAGACTCTTATACTTCCTGGGTGAATACTTTGGAAGATAGTCTATAACTTACTGCTATGGCTTCAATGTGCCCCTAAAAGTTCCTGTGTTGGAAACTTAATGTCCAAAGTCATATTTAATGGTTTTTAGAGATGGGACCTGTGGGAGGTAATTAGGAATAGATGAAGTCATGAGGATAGGATTAGTGTCTTTGTAAGAAGAGAAAAAGAGACCCATGATAGCGCTCTTGTTCTTTTTGCCATGTGATGCCCTCTTCTATGTTATGATGAAGCATGAAGGTTTTCACCAGATGCTGTGGAGGTGCCAGTGCCCTGCTCTTGAACTTCCCAGTCTCCAGAACCATGAAGCAAACAGACTTCTATTCTTTGTAAATTTCCCAGTCTCACGTATTTCGTTATAGCAACAGAAAAGGGAGTAAAATCCTTAATCCTCACCTTAAAAGGTGAAGGTTCATATTCTCCATGACCCAGCAATTCCATTCCTAGGTATACACTCAAGACAGACAGGTGGACATACACAATAGGATGCATGCTCAAGAAATGCACAGCAGTACTGTTCACAAAACTCTAACCTAGAAACAAGCTGCATGCCTCCACCAAAACAATGTGGATAACTCTTTATAATATAATGCAAAGAGAAAAAAAGCAAACCCTAAACATTTACATACAATGTGATAAAACAGGTGGCTCTTTTGTAGGTCATTAGTGCTTTATTAAAATTAACTACCTAAATAAAAATGGGGGATGAATGGGCCAATGAAAAGAGTATGTTCCAAGACTAGTCTCACTCTAGGCTCTGAGATTCAATAAAAAACAACAACAACAACAAAAAAAAAACAAACAACCCAACATCTAAGATGCATGTATCTTAGTACCTGGATCAATCTGAAAATGAATCAATAGCCTAACACAGCTACTAAGAAAACAATGATGGCTGAGAATGTAGTTCTGTGGTAAAGCACTTGCCCAGTAAGCATGATGCCCTGGTTTCAATCCTCAGAACTGCACAATAAAAACAAAAACAAATACAAAAAAACCCAAAACAAAACAATGAATAGAGTTACCCAGGCCCACACTATAGTATCCTGGACATGGGATTTATTCTGTGCTGACGGGTTGTATCTGGAGAACTCTATTTCATTTTTGAGCACCATCTTGAACTGTCTAGGACACTGGTAGAAGAATCATCTCTCAGTCAAGTGACAGGTAAGAATAAGGAAGGTAGGATTGAAATATGTGGATTCTCAATGAAATCGGTATTTGGAGTGCTACAGGCACTTTAAATTTTTCTGATCTGAGCAAACAAAAACTTCTATTGCTGTATTTCTTTGATATATTGTTTTTCCTTTCTGTCTTTTTTTTTTTCAATAAAATTCCACTTCAGGGACTGGCATTTCTTATATAACATCTGGTAAGGCAGACAAAAAGCAGGAGCTCTGAAGGAAGCAGGTGGTGTGCTGAGGACCCTCACTGGAGGAGACTCTCTCATCTGAGACTTGAGAGCTAAGGGGGAGGCAGGGAAATGAGAAGTGAGCTGTGAGGTGAGCATCACACTGAAGCAGCAGGAAGTACACAGTTGTCCTGGGCAGGAAGGGGATGCTCCCAGACTGCAAGAGGGTGAAGGTAGTGGAGGGGCCACCCACAGAGGACCTCCCAAGGAGCTTGGATTTATCCCAGGAGCAATGGGACTAGTGAAGGATTTTAAGTAGGGGAGTTGGTGTGATCTGACTGACTTGGAGAACATAACTTGGGTTTTTGAGTAGAGAATGGATTGAGGGGGGACAGAGTGGAAGCCAGCAGGAGATTACTGCTGTGGTCCTGGCTGAGTCTCACGGCCCTGTGTCCCATGGCCGGGGAGCAGGAACAAAGATGGATGTATCATCTGTAGGAATTTGCAAGATTCCTAATGGATTAGAGGTTGGAGGTTTGGGGTGAGAGAAGGGGAGAATCTATAATGTCTGCTTGTTTTGGCTGGAGCAAGTGGTATTGGGCAATAACTTCCAGTAGCACAATTAAAGGTTTACTGGCTAAGTTATGGGTGCTTTCATGAATAGTATTTAAGTGAGAGCTTGGACTGTTGGTTCTTTTTGTTTTATTGATGTCTGATCTTAATAATGACAACTGCTATAATTTGGATTTCGAATGTCCCCTAAAAACCCATGTGTTAAAGGCTTAATCCCCAGGGTAGTGCTAATGGGAGGCTGTAAGACTTTACAAGGTGGGGCCTTGTGGGAAGCCTTTAGGTTACTGGAGGTGTGCCCTCAAAGGGGATTATGGGACCCCAGCTCCTTTCTCTTTCTCTCCTTTCTTCCTGGCCATTAGGTGTGTACTTTTGCTCTTCTACATGTGCCACCATGATGTGCTCCCTTACCACAGGCTCAAAGCAATAGGCCAACTTACTATGAACTAGAACCTCCAAAACTGTGGGCCAAAATAAATCTTTTTTTTTAGTTGTTTATCTTAGGCATTTTGTTATAGTAATGGAAAAACTATTATGAAGTCTTTTAATAAAGATGGTAATACTAGGATGATGTCTATTAACAAAAAGTATCTGGAGCTTCTGGGATAGGTATCATCATGGAATGGGACATCACACACACACACACACACACACACACAATCACAGTAGTCCCCCCAAGTTTTCAGTTTTGCTTCTGATGCTTCAGTTACTGGTGGTCAACTGCAGTCTGAAAATATTAAAGGAAGGTTCTAGAAATAATTCATAAGTTTTAAGTAGCTTTTATTAAAATACATTGTTTTAATTGCTCTATTTTATTATTAGTTGCTTATCTTTTACCATGCCTAATTATAAGTTAAAGTTTATCATAGATACTGTATATGTAGGAAAAAAATAGTGTATATATAGGGTTTGATGCTATTCTCACTTTTAGGGATCCACAGGGGTCTTGGGACATATCCTCTGAAGATAAAGGAGGCACGATTGTGATGTTATCTTTACTCACAGATATGTAACTTGTTTTGCAAATACAAATAAAAATTATGCACTAATGTTCCTTTATAAGCAGAGGCAAATGTTACACTAGCTAGGTACTGCTGCTGACCAAGAAAACCATATTAACTCTCCCCTAAATATTTTACGTGACTACTGAATGATCCTGCTGTTAATATAGAGTCCATCTATGAAAGAGCAAAAAATCTGCTTTTTTTTTTTACTCAATAATTCTTATTTTACTTGGTAGTAACCTGTCCCTAATTTGCAGAGTCAGTGATTATGTAATTTATAATAACATGTTCTTTGTGTTACGTGTAATTAATGAGTGATGCAAACACCTATATGTAGCAGGTGTACATGATTTACAAGGGGGATTAGTGGTTATTTTTTCATAATATATAAACAAAATAAATCAATTATATTTCAAACAAATTCTAATATATTTCTTGAGTCAAACTTTATTTTTATATTGGTTTTACAGACTAAAATTTGGCTTCTTTTTCTATTCAGGGAAAAATGAGTTAAGTGTAAATTTTACCACATTTGTCATTAAAGATCTGAGGAGATTTAATATCCACAAAGGAACAATGGGAAGAGCCAGAAGGATCTATTCAGTGTGAGAATATGTACATGGTTCAACTATCCTAATTTTTACTTCATTTGTGCCCAAGCGCAAGTGTTCTTTCTTGTGCAGATGACTAAATTTGACAATCAAGGACTGATAATGGTCCTTTAAAAAAGTAGTGTGACAATAATTATGGCATGGATGGAGAACCAAAGACCAATTAATTCTTTTAAAATAAATGTTAACACTTTTTGGCATAGGCTTTCCATGTGAGAACTGGCAATATTCTCCTGAAACATTATCTAACTCAACTAATAGAATGAATGACTTTTACCTAGTTTAGTTTAACACCGTAGGCAAGGTTAAACTCATACGCACCTTATATTTTACTGCAATTTGATTTTTCTTTTTATTTTTTATGGCTTCATCATAATTTGGTGTAATGCCACAGGCTTAATGTTCTGGTTTTATCTTTATTAGGAGCAGCACTGTGATTTCTATTTAGGCAATAGGTGCTGTTATGTTCTCACAATAAGGACTCATAGGAAATACTGCTTCATGCATTCAGTTCTAGAAAGAGATTTGCTCTGAATTAACTTACTATAGTGTGGTTCTTCTAGTGATTATATTCTCCTTTTGCTTCTAAAAAGTGGAGTCAGATTTGGGATCCTTATTTACTGAGTGTGAAATGGCTTGGGTAGCACATTTTTTTTTTTTTTATCCTTGGGCTTTCTCTATCTTGCCTTCTTATCTTTGATTTTCCTTTGTCCCATAGTTTCAATTAATTTTTAAGTCACTTTTTTTCCCCTGTAGCTTTGCTCTACTTAGCCTTTAAATACTAATCGAATTAAGGTGCTATATAAATAAGTACACACTAAATTGTCCCAATTTTGAAGACATACAGGTGTTTGAGAGTGGGGAGTATTTCCTAGGGAAACCCAAAGCATTGGGGAAAGCTCCCCTACTAACTTTCTGGATGTTGAAAATAGTGGGGGACTCAAGCCCCCACTAAAATCTAGGGCATTCATTCGAGCTCTAGTGAGTGATGCATGGTCTCCTAAGGGTCCACTTAATTTACTTATTTATTTTTAAATATTTATTTCTTAGGTGTAGATGGACTCAACACAATGCCTTTATTTTCATGTGGTGCTGAGGATGGAACCCAGGTCCCACCGGTGCTAGGCAAGCACTCTACCGCTGAGCCACAATCCCAGCCCCTAAGGGTCCACTTTAAATAAAGCAGATGAAGGTCTCACTGGGAAGGGAAACAGTGGAAGCTCCAGAGTCCTTACAAAAGGGAAGCTCTCCTCCCATGGATCTTGCATACCTTCTGGGTAAACCCTCATGTTCACATTAAAAACTGTGAGCAGGGCTTTCAGGGAAACAGAATGGCAAAAGTTAAAAGTCTTCAGCTTGAGCTGGAGGTGTAGCTCAGAGGGAGAGCCTGTGTTCAACATATTAGAAGCCCTAGGTTCAATTCCCGTCAAACACACACACACACACACACACACAGAGAAAAGTCTCCAGCTCAATTCTAATCACATGCCAAAGACACTACAAATAAAATCTCTGAAGCAAAATAATTGCCTTGCCATCATTCCTCAGATGCCTTAGAAAGATCTATGATGGAAAGTACTGCAGACCTGAGATAGTGCTGATTAGAAATCTTAGAAAAGTGCTCAAGGACCAGAGAAAAAGGGGAAGATCCAAATTAGAACTAAGGAACTACATATTTTAATTTTGATGAGTGATTGACACTAGGGAAATATGTAGGGAAATGGAAATAGAGATATAGATGTGAAGTCTAAGTCATCCAGAATCACTGTAAAAAATTTTTGAGTATAGAAGAACAACATTTAAGTGTTCAAATACAGACTCTAGACATTGTGTTTCCTGAAAATTGACAGGAGACAAGCAGGAAAACATACACACACACAAGGAGACAAGCAGGAAAACACACACACACACACACACAAAGAGCGAGGGAGAGAGGCACCTCATTATGAAGACTGAAGGTCACAACTTCTGTGTGTGCCTGTCCATTCACTGGATACCATTTCCTGACTTTCTCTGTTGTAGATCTTTTTTAGAAAGTAAAAGAGAGGCAGGTGTGTGGCTCAGTGAGAGAGCACTTGCCCAGCAGGTGTGAGGCCCCAGATTCCATCCCAGCCCAGGAAAAGGTAAATTAATAAGTAAATGAAGTAAGGGAGAAGCTAAGGAATTGTTGCTCAGTTATATTTTACCCAAATTCGACCATTCTTTTCATGTTTTAAAATTATACTTTGCATACTGCACACACTTCAACATGCTGAACCTCTTGAGGGCTACAATTTAGACCTTAGTGGAGATGGTGACTTACCCCCGGTGGCTTTGAGTTTGATGGTCATTAGTTCTTCAGAGACCTTGCCCTTTTTGATAGCTTGTGCATTGAGAGGACATCCAGATAAGCTGAGAAAACAGAATTTATACTAATGTGTGAAAGACATATTAATTCTTATAAAAATTAAAGAGTTTATTCATACCCACTATTGATGTTTGATTTACCTAAATCATTAATTTTTTTACTATTGATGTTTTGGCCTGCCCACTAATTATATCACAGCTCACAGTCTCTTTGTACAAAGTAACCAATAAATATCTATTAGAGCAAAGGCAAAAGGCCTTCAAGAGTGGCTTTTTTTCCCTTTTTCTTTGGCAGTGCCAGGGATGGGTCCTAGGGCTTCCTGCAAACCAGGCAAGCACCCTACCTCTGGAGATTTACCCCCAGACCTGAAAAATGTATTGGGTTTTTTTTCCCTTTAAATCAAAGTAAAAATAGTCATTGCTGCTACATAATAGTGATTTAATTCATTATGTTCTGTGCTGCACTCATGTGAGTGCCCTGATGTAGTGGTAGCTACTTTATTTTCCATAAACAGAAAATTGTATGTATGGATTATGAATGATGATGGTTTCTAACTGATCAAAATTCCATGAAAACTAAAGCAGAATCTAGTTCTTGTTTTTATAGGAAGTACAGTCTGATCTTTACAGAATGACTCAAATGAACAAAAGTCAAACATAACTTTCCACTTTTCCTAACGCAGATTCAATCTGGTTGTGGAAAAGTTTCTGATTTTTTTCCCTTTAATTGTTACAACATTATTTTTTCATTTTAAAAGTCTCTACCCTGAAAGGAGAATAAAGGGAGCCTCAGCAAGTGTATTCAGATGCAGTCCTGGCTGGGTGGTCTGTTTTTCTGTGGCAGTGTGTATGACCCTTCCCATTGAACAGTCACACTCCTCGGTGACACTCCTTTCCTTTAATGTTACCTGTTTTATTTAAATTGCACCAATATGATAATGACAACGTTGAACAAAACCTGTTGCCATCGTTTCTGATCAGATAATTTCATTGTTCCAAGCAGCCATTAATTCTTTTCCAGTTTTGTTGTGTCTTTGTACAGTTTTTAGATCAAAATAAAAATGATTCTAGTATGGGGTGAAGGTGGGAGTTCATAACCCACTTGAATCAAAGTGTGGAATATGATATGTCAAGAAATTTGTAATGTTTTGAACAACCAACAATAAAAAATTAAAAAAAAATGATTCTAACCAGTCATTTAAAATATTTTTCATCCATAGAAATGTGGTTTACAATTCATCTATAAAACAATTATTTTTGAACTAAAATTTGCAACACTATGAAAAGCATAAGAAAATATTTCTGGGGCAAAGCTCTTCATAAATGTAAATCACTTATATTTTTAAAGAATAGCAAATTATTCTACATTAAGATTCCATGAAATATGAAAAATATTGATATATGAAAATATAATAATAAATAGTACTGGTGACATCATATATAAAGTGAGGGTTATGTGGTTTGCTCAAATTTGATAAAAGATAAATTGTTTGACAGGGGATAAGAATGAGAGACACAAACTGAATGCAGAACCACAAATTTCCATTCCGGAAGCTTCTCTCTGTCAATCATGACTGATATATACACTTTCTTATTATTTCTTTTTCTGGAGAGTTATGCAAGTTTGTCTTGTTTTTATTGTTACATGTTGTGTTCTGAGAAAATGATCATGAAAGGGATGACTATTTAGTTGGTAGACTGCATAATTAGAGGTGCTTGTAGTACATCTGTTTGTAACATAATGGATAGTAACATGTCCTTTGAGGTCTTCTGACATTCTCCCCTAAAGGATCAGTTTTGTTTAGATAACTTGTAGTAAATTTCCAGGGTGTGATACAGTGTTGTAAAAATGTTAATGAAGTGTCCATCCATTATTACATGACTTAGAACCAAATCATGTAGTTATGGAAGTGAGGCTTAGGTTTAAAAAATGCCACTTGATATTTATTCTGTATCTTCTGAGATAGTGAAAATATTTTAAAGAATTGGGCAGAAAAAATATTTTATAAGTTCTTTATCTTTTGAAGATGGAGTTTGGCAGGTCTGTGTTATAGCTTTCAGAGTTTGGAACTCCATATTGGAAAGGCAGGGGAAAAAAATGGGCTTATATAGCTTTGGCCTAATTTGAAATTCTATGAAGGCATATTAAGGCAATGTAAGCTTTATCTTCATCTACCTTCTTAAAGCAAAATGGAAGGTGACACAATTACTGGCACACTTGATTTGTTACAGTTGTTCCTGACTACAACAATGATCTAAACTCAGAATAAAACAAGGTGAGATATGGAAGATTTTAGCCTGCATTTGAAAGATATCAACAAAACAAGAAACAAAAATCCCACAGAAATTCAAGTTTTCTCAGTAAGCAAGTTTCAATGACAACCTTGAAATAAGTACTTCCTGGAAGGCTTCATTTTCTGATGCCTTTGATCTACATCCCCAAAACTGAGCAGGGTCAGATGCTCCAACTTTGCTCAATTTGTACACTGCTTATAAACAAAGCATCAAAGATTTCCTGAACCTTCACTGGTTTTGAAGTCAGCATTGTGCACAGTGGTCTGCAAGACTAGAAAGGGAACTCATTACTCATTGATTGGAGAAATAGATCATAAATCTTCTAGCTTTTTTTCTTTAAGTAGAAAGCAAACCAAAAGCTGGACTAAGATAGTTCTTGTCCAACAAAGGGCTCAGTCGAAATACACGACACTTGGTGATAAAGGAATTAAGTCATTGTGAAACTATAAAAGGGTTTTCTAAATCTCCCTTCATCCTGTTGTACACTTAGCAGTTGTTAAGCCATTTTCTTTCTGGCTGCTGTAGATGAGTCACATCTTCCTAGCAGCAAAATAACTATAATTTTGGTCTGAAATTGAGCCAATGCATGAGAGGGAGGGAATGGTGTAAATATGTAAAGTGAAAGTTTACAATTATATAACATAATAGAGTAGATATCACCACTTGGAACTGAAGTGAACCATTAAAAGACTGAACGATTTTAAAATAGCAGCATATGTGATATTTTAGAATACAAAAAAAAAAAAAACAAAAACACAAGTGCACAGTTTCTAGGGCACTCAAAAACTATAGTGAATTTTCAGAAATATAGAAAATGACATTTTTTATTCTTCAGACTAGTCAAATATTTATTTAGCATGATAATGTTATGATATCTAAAGTGCTGTAATTAATGACATTTAGAAGGGAAGCTGCCCGCCCCCCTCCCCAGCAACCCAGATGACAACCAATCACAGTAACAACAAAACAAAAAGGCAGGAAACAAATGTTACCTTCTGTGGGTGACAAAAACATTATTTACATGGCCCAGCCCATTGCAACCTGGCAGGGGACAATGGGGCAGCTCTTGCTTGTTCAGTTTCCAGGAGAGAGGGGCCCCGTTGAGAGGATTCTCCTTCTGTCTCTTGGCAGCCAGGGGACAGCCAGAAGCTGTGCGGTGTGATGTGTATTTACCTGATATGTGACCTTGGCCGTCACACCCTATTACAGGACATCTAGAGAGACACAAGAGAGACATTACCAGCTGGGGAAAAGGCAGAAACAGTTCCATACCATCCTGGAGGAAATTCATGAAATTACAGACCTTTAAAAAAGGCCACCACCAGTAGCAAACAGCATCATATTAGTAGTAATAGTCCGCAGGCTCTGTTCTAAGCAATTTCCATGCATTATCTCTTTTAATATTCATTGCAAACCCACAGGATAGAGAGTGTTATTATCCCATTTTGTCGGTGGGGAAAATGAGGCTTATAGAACTTAGCTGACTCTTCACCTATTTTAGAAGAAATGGAGCCAAGTTCAAGCCTGTACTTTTTAGCACTAGAGCTAACCACATAAGCACCAAGTTATATGGCTTCTGAACAAAGATCAAGGGTATAAAGTGTTTACTGCTTTGATAATGATACATAGCACATTGCTCCTGACACTGGAATTTTGATTTGCAAATGTTTAAATATTGTATTTAGAACTCTTGTAGAGAAAGCGATTTAAATGTCTATAACTACACTGTATTGCCCAAGACCTGCTAGCATATTTCTTAGAGGAGAAAATTCAACTTAGATATAATTTCGCCTTATGCAAAACAGAAATCTCAGGAGAAAATATGGCTGGATTTGTCATTCTAGAGAACTTCCACAATGCAGCTTTCCTTTAGAACAACTGGGAAAAGTACAAATCTCCCATCTTTTCTTTTGCATTTCAAAGAAATATGGAAATTTAGTTCTGAACGGGAAAATGTTCTCAAACCTCCAAACAATCTGACTCTTGCTTCAGTAGTCCTGGTGCTCGCTCAACTGCATCCCAACCAAGGCTCCTCCAATTTGGTCAACAAGACACAGCTGACCCCAGTGCTACCACCATTGCACTTACTTAAGTTCAGGGTCTTCTTTTTCTTCCTTGGTAGGAGTCATTTTGACGCCCCCTTTTCTTGCACGAGGACAGCCGGACAAACTACAATACACAACCAACAAAGAACAACACACAAATAAGTGGTCTCAGTACTACTGTGGACACCTGTGCCCCCCTCTCAGAAAGGAATCAGTCCTACCTTCTGTGGGAAGCATAGTTTCCAGTCACATGCCCGGACCCATCGCAGCCTGGGGTTGGACACCTGGAAACACAGGAGTAGAGCATGATCCTCAGATTAGGGGTAGGAGGAGGATTGTGACACATTCAATAGAATTGAATATAAAGAGCTGCTTTTGGTGGGATTCTTTTTGCTTAAATATAATTAGCTTTTGGCTAAGGATTCATTTTTAAAGAAAAAGTTAAGACGTAACTACTGAATGATGCAGGGCAGACAATGGCATTAGCTGTTAGTTATTATACATTTGGTTTTCTTTTTTTAAACCTTATATTGAGAAGAACTTGAATGTGAGCCCATAACTTACTGCTGGGCTTCTGTCTACACCATGCAAAGTTCTCATCTTTCATGTAAGAAGAACAATTTTCCAGATTGGTTTTATGAATAATTTATTTTCTCTGACATCCTGTCCTGCCATGATAACCCACTAATTCCACATGAACAACAGTGCTATATGTGAACTCCAGAGACTTAGAGCATTAATATTATCACCAGAGAATGTACATAACCTGCACCTGCTGCTCCGTCTTGCCTCACCCAAGTTCACTATTATCTATTATCAGCAATCAACCACTGAGGAAGGAGAAGGGTAAAAGAGGAAAGGGAATCTACTTCTACTTGAAACGCTGATTAGGAATCAGTTTCAAAATACACTAGAATAAATACAGATTTTCATCTTTATGTTGCTTTTAAAAAAAATCCCCAATAGAAATGAAAACAGACCATCACAAAATATTTGCTTTTCTGAAAGTTTTTATACAGATTATCTTTATGTATTATTTCACATTTTTGGTCCCTATGGTTCAGATCTCCACCCAAACAAGAGTTCCATTTGAGAAAAAGTGGTAATCCAAAGAAACCTGTGAATACTATTTCTTTTCTTAAATTGTATCCCAATGAACTTTCATGAAACATATTAATTTCTAAATAGGGAATAAATACTTTTTTATTTTGCAATGAAATTTTAAAATATCAACACACATCTCCTCCAGCTAACGGGAAACACCTGCACAAGTCTTTAATTAACCACTCAAAGAGATAATATGTACTCTCTATTGTAAAAAAGGTTTGCATGCTTAACTTTTTCTATTAACATTTTTGTGAAATATTGCTTTATTAGCATAGAGCAATTATGAAAATACCAGTGCCAAATAATCTTTTTGGGGAGCTTTTCCTTGAATATCTAAACAAGAGGTCAATGAAATATCTTATATGGAAAAACCATTCATAGTATTTATTAGATGCCTGCATAAAAAATGAAAATACTGCACAGTGCCATGGGATCTCTCAATGTACATGCTTTCAATGTATTACCAACGTGTTTTTGAAATACTGTTTAGAGAAAATACTTAAGAGAACTGATAGCAATAATTAAGATGTGGAAAATGTAAAAGTGATTAAAATATTCTAGTGCATCTTACTTTTCAATCTGTTATGAATCTCTGCTGAACATTCTTCTAGTTTAGTCTAGAAAAACGAAGTCAATAAAATGATTTCTAGAATCTGTCCTGGCACAACAAATTGTTCTTAACACTTTGAAAATGAGAAATGTTGTATACTTCATAGTTTTCTTTACTATTTCTGTTAATAAAACTTCAAATTTTTATACAGGTTCATTATCAAGGACATAAGATGAACTATACTTTTTTATTATTACATATGTAATAAAACAATATAAAAATAGACAAATGAGAAATTTTGAATAAAGAAGATAAAAATAGAAAGAATAAAATCAATAAGTAAATATAAATACACAAGTGACTTTGAGATCTTAAAGATGACGTAGAAATCAGCCAAAAATGTGTTTATCAACCAAAAATGAAAGGCTGTTGCATGATTTTAAATGACCAAAAGGTAAAATGTGTAATTTTCTTAAAATTAGATGATATAAATGCTTTGCCACACCTTCATAAGTCTGACTTAATAAATTCTGAAATTAACAACTAGAGTTTTCTGGGCATGGTGGTGCACACCTGTAATCCCAGTAATTCAGGAGACTGAGGCAGGAGGTTTGCAGGTTCAAGACCAACCTCTGCTCAAAATAAAAAATAAAAAACACTGGAGATGTAAGTCAGTGGTAGAGCACTCCTGGGTTCAATCCCCAGTACTGAAAAAGAAAAGAATAAAGACAAAAGAAAACAAAAAGAAGTATTGTGTTTAATAATTACATCATTCCTTTAAAAGCTATTATAAAATAAAATGCCCTCAAAGCAAGCAAATTAAATGATAGTAACTTTTTAATATTATTTCAACTTTTTTGGTGAAAAAGTGTTTTTTTTTTATCATTAAGTTAGGTAAAATTTACTCCTTATTGGTTACACTGACAGAGAATGAGGAGAGCCAATGGGCAAAGAGGTCATGTCTCCTGACACTTACTTAAGCTCCTGAGAGTTGGCAGCCATGAGGGACTTAAGAGTCTTATCTGCTAACGGACATCCAGAAACACTACAGAGGAGAAAGAAAAAAAATATATACATATTTATACACAACACTGATATACACAAACCTGACTCAAAGAGCATCCTGGGTTTGTAATATATGTTAAATTACTGGTGACTAAAGATTGGGAAAACAAACAAACAAAACTTTGAATCTGGCTTTGCTATTAGAGTCTGGGTTTGTTGGCATTTCAATTGTTTTCTCATAAACTCAGATTTGCTATTTATCAAATGAAGGGCTTTAATCCAATGAGACTCCCCAGTTCTGGAATTCCATGGTACAATGATTACAAAGTTCTTTCTTATTGCTGCACCAAGTCATGATGACTGGAAGTTTTAAACTAGTGCTCAAAAAGAAAGCAAATCATGTCAGTAAGAAGGTAAACAGAAAGTTCCAACAAAGCTTTTTGCACTGTTAATCTCTCCATGGTCCTGAGTTATTATCTGCTCAGAATCAAAGGTACTGCTTCGGCAGATCCACTCCAGCCATTCTGTTGCCTTCACTTAGATTTAGACAGGACCAAAGCTGGACATGAACCCTAACTCTGGTTCTGTCACTTACAGTAGATTTTTTTTTTTTTTGCTGAGAATCATGATTCCTATATGTCATAATTTTATTTCTGAAAAACAAAAATAAACCCAAACCTAACTAACTCAGTCTCCACTTCCTGATCCAAATGATATCTTGCTAGAACAGATGAGGATAAGTAATTGCAACAGAGCAAGATGAGGAAAACCTGACTGTGCCGGAGGTTGTTGGGTACCTGCGATGAGACGCATAGTTTCCTGTGACATGGCCACTTCCATCACATCCTGGTGTTGGACAGCTGGGTCAACAGAAAAACACATCATTGGAGTCAAGTGCATTTCAGAGTCATTTACCCTACCTGATAGATTACCAAGCAGCTTTTCCCTTCAAGATAAGTTAACATTGTATAGGGCACAAGCAGAAAATAGTGAAATAAGGATTTATACTGGCTTTTATATAAGAACCAGCACACTAAAAACAGAGCATGCTGAATTACTTTTTTAGTTATCAGTGTCCAACATCATATTCAATTCTCTGATTCAAATGATGTAAGAACATGACACTAACATGTATATCTTGGTGATTTTGTAAGTCAGCAACAATTAGTGTTCTATTTCTTTGAAAATATAAATTCTCTAAAAATGAACATTATAAATCCATGCTTTATTATGACTACAGATTTTAAGAATACTGTCACCAATTATATGATAGATTCCAGAAAGGAATTTTTGTAAGTTTTTAAAACTAGGCAACCTAATAACTTCATAAACACTGACAGCAAAAGAAGAAAACCTTTCACTGGAAATTAAGTGGATATTTTAGATGGGGAAGTTGCTGACAGTACAGGAACAGTTTGGTTGGCAAAGCTTGTAAGCAATTTCACCCAAAGCTGTAACCCAATAAAGACGATCCCTAATTCATGACTAGCCCAAGAATATACTGTCGGGACATCTGCCAAAGGTGCTGCAGTGTAATGGAAGCCCCTATACTTCACTAACTCAGATCGTGTCTTGGGATTTTTGTGTGTGTTTAAAAAAATAATGCAAGAAGTTAGTTATCTTTAGAAGTTTTCCTTCCACGATTAGTAGGTTCCTTGGTTTTTCAGTCATTTAATTTCCTCTGATGCTGCTGAAGAGCCACTTGTTCAGAGGAAGCAGATTGACCCCATCTGCTTAGCACTATTTGTGGCAGTGTTAAGAATCAGAAGAAAAAAATCAATTACATTATTTGTACATCTTATTTTCTCTGACATCCTGCCCAGAGTGAAGTCTTACCTATACATTCTGAATAAGAATTTAACCTTTTTTTTTAAGTTTTATTTTTCCATTTTAGTTTCTTTTTTTTTTTTTAAAAAAAAAACTTTATTTTTTTATTTTATTTTTATGTGGTGCTGAGGATCAAACCCAGGGCCTCGCAAGTGCTAGATGAGCGCTCTACCACTGAGTCACAACCCCAGACCCAAGAATTTAATCTTTGAAGGCACATTTTGGGATAGATTGATTTTAACATTCCAATATTTTCTGAATTATTATTTTCTAAGTATTTCCCCCCCCCCAAGTGGTACTTTCCAATAATTTTCAGGTAATCTAAAGACTCTACAATCATTAGAACTCTCAAAGGGATGTCTGGCTTTCAGAGCTTGATTCAAGCTGAGTAAACTAACTCTACCCTTTTCCTGGATAGGATATAAGAAAGTTAAAATAAATACATGTAAAAAAGTAAAAGATAAATTAACAGGAATAATATTATTATTATTTGCTAGTGCCCTTCATCTCATCCACAACTCTTTTCTGAGCATTATCCATCTGGAATCCTGAGAAGGTAGATCTGTTTCATTTGCTTACTCTCCACTTCAGAATTCATCGCCACCTAGTGTTCCACAGCAGCATTGCATTTATTTTATTTTTAATTTTATTTTTTTCAATTACATTAACATTGCCCAAAAGGCAAAGAGGTAGGGGCTGGGGTTGTGGCTCAGAGGTAGAGTGCTCACCTAGCACAAAGCACTGGGTTTCATCCTCAGCACCACATAAAAATAAGTAAATAAAATAAAGGTGTTGTGTCCAACTACAACTAAAAAAAGTAGTAAAAAAAAAGGGGAAGAAGTCACAATTATTTTTAGACAAATTACATGTACATTACCTACGAAACACAGTAATAAGATATGCATTTAATTAACTGATAATTTTTGTAGAAAATGTCAAAAAATAAAGAAATTATAAGTGGCAACATTATAGTGGAAAATGTTTCTGTTTAGGATTTTGATAGCTAGATTTAATTCCAAATCTATGATGAAAAATCTTACATGATAACATATGCCAATAACCACTGGATGATATATTCTGGGAAGGTTTGCACATGAAAATATCAAAATTAAAGGCAGATAACTAGGGTGACACTGTAAGTAGCAAGATTTTCATAAAACATAGTAATATATATATATATATATATATATACACACACATATGTGTGTGTGTATGTATGTATGTATGTATATATATATATATGAGACATCCTTCAAAACACTCTTCCTGCCTGTAAAATAGGTGTCCTGTATGGTCTCTGAGAGAGTTAATTTCCTAGGAATTCATGAATATGCCAAAAAGTTCATTCAAAACTTGTTCAAAATCTTTGGGATGTTTCCTGTTTTTTATTTAGCTTTGTTTATATATGTGTGTCTTGAGTAGTAAAGATTACAAAAAATATTTTGCATGACATTAAATTTGCAATGACTTCCAGCAATTTCCAACAATCCATTCTCAAAAAATAAAAATTTGCCATTTTTGAAGATATTAAAAAATACTGTGTAGAAAGAAAATCCATCCAAAGATAAGCAAGCTCAAATAGGTAGGTCCATGTGGGAATAAGTGGACGGCTCACTCAAGTGGTCTCTTGGAAAGAAACAGTGTTTGATGGAATCTAAGTTACTATATGTTTGATACCATCCATTATGTGTCTACCCCCAAGTCTCAGGTGAATATTGAGCTCATACAAGAACATAATATTTGAGCCTATGAAATCCTTAAATAATGCACATTCTGAACTTATGTAAAAGCCATTCACATGTTGACACAGCAAACTGATGCTGGACTGGGAGTAATCCCATTGGATGCCTAGTATGTACAAAGTCTCTGTACTTGGCACCAACATTTGAGATGTGTTCCCAGGTCACTGTGCATGTAGCTGGGGAATAAGAGGCAGCAAAGTATATATTATGCACAGTTATGATTCCAAGCGGGGAACAAAAACTTGAGGAATAGCACCTGTGCCCTCCGGGCCTTATTCTTGGTGAGGAGACAGACACTAGAGAGCAGAGGTGAAAGGAAATGCATATGTCAGATGGTGAGAATGCTGCTGATAAAGAAAAGATCTAGAAAACTGGGCAGGCATGTCAAGACTGGAAGGTGAGGAACTGCCGTAGCAAAAAGACCTCTGAGGGAGCACAGGTTAAGCCCTTCAGAAGCCCTGGGGACAGAGTTCTGGGAAAAGGAACAGCAACTGCAAGGACCTGGGGCAGGTTCTGTCTTGGTGTGCTGGAGGGAAGCGGGAGGGGAAGGGAGAAGACCAGAGCTCCCTGCTGCACGATGTGAATCAGGAAGTCACAGTTAGAGATGGTAGAACAGGAGAATCAGGACATCCAAATGGGAGGGGCTTCCTGCAGAATGTAACAAGAATGGTGACCTTATGGTGGCTTTACAGGAACAATGAAATAAAAGCCTGTCTGGAAAAGATTCAAGAGGGAAACTGAGTCACACACTATTGACAACTTTCTTGAGTTCAGCTGTAAAAGAAAAAAGAGAGAGCACCCAGGTGTAGCGTCTCCTGGGTCAGAAGTTTTTAAATTTACTTTTAATGGACAAATTTAAGTATTTTATACAGAGAGATACAGAGCAGGGATTATAAGCAATTGGTGCCTAAGTGGAAAAGTTACTGTTCTCTGGAAACTCTCATTAACTGGCAGCTATAAATGTATTTATGTACGAGCATAGTTGATTAGTATTTAATCATTTATATATGAAAAATAGTTTCCTGCGTTTCATTCATTTACTGCTTTTGGTACCTCTGTCTGTATTTCTTTTATGTTTATTTTTAATTGATACTTGGAAATGGTACATATTTAGAGGGTATGATGTGTGCTTGGATACATGTATTACATTGTATAATGATCAAATCAGGGTAATTGATCTTGAAATCCTTTTTTTTTTTTTTTTAAGTCAAAACACTCCTCAGAGTATGCAAGGAAAATCATTCACTCCTTTACCCAAGTAACATTTGATTCAAATGTTACAAGCTTAGCACATTTCCTAAGCCAAGCCTAGACATTCTGGAGTCAATGGACCTCAAGTTGGGAACTTCAGACCGAAATATCTGCATTTCTACTTGTTCTAGATTATTTCATTTTTTTAGACATTTATTTTTTAGTTGGACACAATATCATCTTTATTTTATTTATTTATTTTTATGTGGTGCTGAGGATCAAACCCAGGGCCTCTCATGTGCTAGGCAAGCACTCTACCGCTGAGACACAACCCCAGCCCATAGATTATTTCATTTTTTAATCAGCAGATTTTCAGTTCTCTTAGCATAGGACCACATCATGTACATTTTTGTAGTATACTTATTTCAATGCATAGGTTGAACATTTAACTATCGACTAGTTGCAACTGCCCTAAGAGTCCTAAAGTCAAATGGACAAGCCAGATATTATTACCCAAAATCATGAACTAGAGTCTCTCGACTCCAGGATCTTACAGGGTACAGCACTGGATACCACTTACGTGATTAGTTCTTTTTTGAGATCTCTTGCATGGAGCTTGGGTTTAGGACTTGGTATAGAGACCTCTCCAGGAAATTTTTTTTCCTCTAAATTTTCCAGAGAGTTCACTGGGTCTTTCTGGAGGAAAAAAAAAAAAGACCGAAGCCATTAGGGAACCCTGAAATGACAACTCAATTTGAAGTGATTGGAGTCGGGTTTAAGTTTTGACTTAAAAGATTTAGCTGAAATACTACAAAGAATTTGCATAAGAAATAAATAAGATAATGAATAAAAGGATATGTTGGATTGTTAGGGACCTTTACCCTAAGCGAAGAATGAGAAATTATAATTGTTGGGGAATACCTTTGAAAAGTTCTTAGCAAATACAATTATAGAGACATTTCTTGTAATTGAGTGAATATGTTAGTATGTTTCAATTTTTTTTTCTGTGCAATAAGTAGTTCTAGAGAACACAGGCAGAATTCTTTACAGCAGACACAACAGCAGTAAGATGAAAGGAATATTGCAAAAATGAATCACAGAGTTTTAAACATACAAGTCTAGGTTAACAGAATGTTCATTCCAATATACAAATAATTAACATCTAAATTATGTGTTTAAATCTGTAATAGCTGAGGCCATGGTATTTAGCCTTTTAATTTCATTTTTTCTGGATAATTGCTTTTATTTTCACAACACTTTCTTGTTTTTCTTTTCTTTTTTGCTAACTTAGTATCTTGTAATGCTTTTAATCATTGGATGGCATTTCTTATTGGATATTATTGATTTTCATGTTTTTTTTAAAGCTTAATATTGATCTTGATCCCATAAGAGTCACTAATCTTTCCAAATCATTCATTTACCAAGTGGTATATTATCTCACAGAAAACTCCTGACAGTTTTCCTCAATCACATAATTAGCTTACTTTTATCATTAAGCTCATATCCAGTAAACATAATACTTTCTGGATTTAAAATTAAAATCATGTTAACTAATATAGAAAAACATATTCCAAATCTTGAAAGTATTGATCTATTTTGGAATTTCTGAACTAAATTTCATTTAATTTAAATGGATATAAAAATGCTGCAGCATAATATAATTTTAATGATTCTGAATCTACATTCAAAAGCAATGGAAAAACAAAAATTCCTGAATTTTTTAAACCAACGAAAAATTCTGAACACTGATATCATTATCAAGGCAAATGTAAATTCTTCATTCTTTACTTCGTAACAACAGTTCAATTATTTTACATACGAGTATGCTGTAGTGAATACACTGGTAACTATTTCAAGTGATATTATTATTAGATCAAATTAAAAGAACTTGGTTTGGTTCAATTTATGTCATTTACATGCTAATTTACTGAAAAACAAAATACTAACTGATTTTGTAAAGTTTATGTCCAAATTACACATTGAAAGAAGAAACTGCAGATGAAAAGAACTAACTGGACCAATAGACTACAAATGTATGGAATGGTAACAAATGAAGTACTGTAAGTGCTCACTATCCATTGGATACCATGTACAATTATACTATTAACAGACAATATCACTGTTTTATCTTTAGCATGTTCTGTGTATTTTATTACTTTAGCTTTTTCCCCAGGTATTTAAGAAAATTTCTACCATTTTCCCCCTGAAACATTTAGTCACTGGAAAAACACAGAATATTGATAAAAAGTGAAGATTTATTAGGAAGAAATAATTTTAAAATAATGAGAGGGTATTTAAAAATAAAAATAATATTTTCTAAAGATTTAAAATAGGACCAGGGTTATGGCTTAGTGGTAGGGCGCTTGCCTAACTTGCATGAGGCACTGGTTTCAATCCCCGGAACCACATGAAGAAAAAAAATAAATAAAATAAAGGTATTGTCTCTGTCTACAACTAAAAAAAAAATTAAAAAAAAAAGATTTAAAATAATTTTTTTGTCTCACAATTAAAAAACATTCTAGCTGATGGAAATATACATTCAAAAGTCAAAGGAAGTGTATGTTTCAAAATAGTTATCTATTTGGCTGTAAAGACAAGTGCTATTTTAAAGTCACCTCCATGGAATTCTCAGCAAGACACATGATTGAAGATCATCTTTTTAAAGTTTTACAGTGTAAAAGACTAAAGTAAAGCAATTCCTAATTTTAAAGGCTAAACCTGATCAGCCTCCCCCCACCCCCATCCACTCCATTTGGGACAATCTGATTCAGTTTGGGTAGTAATTTCCACTCTAATTTAGAAATGCCTTGGCTTTCTGAAAGTAGAGGCAAAAGCTAAAGCTAAGGTCAATACTGTCTCAGTGTGGAAGAACCTTTGTTTTTCTGTTTAGATGCTGATGTTTTCACAAAAATGGCACTAAGTAAAAAGTATCATTTCATTATTTTCTTTATGATAGAGTTCAGAACAAAGTCTGAGGAGCCTTGTACATTTACACAGGAACATATGAATGTTTCCATTGTTGTTTGATGGCTGAATTTGTACATTATGGAAGGCAAGAGAATGGGGAGGATTTTGAAAGAAATGATCAATTACAAAAGTGTGTGAATTATATTTGACTAAAAGGCATTCACACACACACACACACACACACACACACATATATGCAAACACACACACATATATATCCCCCACACCCCTGCCCCAGTACTGGGGATTGAATCCAGGGCAGTTCTACCACTGAGCTATATCACCAACGATTTTTATTTTTTATTTTGGGACAGGGTATCACTAAGTTGCCCAGACTGGTCTCAAACTCACAAACTGCCTCAGTCTCCTGAGTAGCTGGGATCACAGACATGTGCTACTGTGCCTGATTATCATGAATGGTATTTAATCTGATATAATAATATGTGACAATGTTTTAAAAATATATTTTTTATTGGTGATGACCTTTTAAATATTACATCACTTAAAAAAACCCTCTAGTTTCTCATGTATGCAACTGATTTGTAAAATAACCGTCTTTTTTACTTTTCTTAACATTCTACCACTGGAAACTTGCAGAGAGTATATAATTCAAATACATGTGGCCATCACTAAAAGAATTCTTAGATTAGTTCTGTTACAGAAACACTTTATACTGGATGGATTCCTAAAGATCACCCAGTGTAAAATCATTGATAGCATTTATGAGATTTTTTTAAACCAAAATTTAAAGTATCACTTTGGAAATAATAATTTTATCCCACGCAAGATGTGTAAGAGAGAACATGGTATGTACATGTGTGTTTGAAGTATGTGTGTGCAATGAAATTCTTTAATGTACAGATGGAAGTTTATATTGATTTCAGTAAAGACCAGAACATAATGATAACATGAATAACAGATAATAGCATCTGGCACTTTTAACATTTTAAGCCCTGAAATCTTTGGAGAACTGACAGTTGAATGAAACTGACAGCCCTAGTTATTTCTCAGTACTTTCCTTTCGAGATATTTTGATTTTTTTCCAAATTCAGGATTTTTTTTAAGGGGGCATCTGGACAGGCTATTTCACTGAGAGAGACAGACAATATTTTCTGAAAATTACCACCAAAATTAAGCAACTGTTGTGCATATGAACTAGATAACAATGAATTAGAAATAATCACTCGATTTCTGGTCATGTGAATGTTGTGTGTATATTGTATGTGGCACAGAGGAGGTGGCAAAGTGGCAAAGGGAAGGACAGGCAGGAGCAGGACACACCACATTCTGGTGTTCAAACATTCTTGATGTATTGTCGGAGCCATGTGCAGCAATTCAAGAGAGCTCACTGGGAAGTGACAAGACAGACCCAGTGCTGTAACTGGTTTCTGTGTACACATATGGAGACCTGCCTAGGTCAGAGGACTTTGGTTTTGCATCCTCAAAAATACCAGTGACAATGGGCTTCCATCACACTTTGCCACACACCATCTCTTCATTATTTCTAAACTTTAATTTCTCTCCCCCACCCTCTCTGTGTCTCGGTGCATTATGGCTCCCCCCCTTTTCTCCATTTTCCCCTCTGAACCTAATACTTAAATTCTGTATAACAAGGTCCAACAACTATAACTCCCCAAGCATCACTTTTCTCCTCTAAAAAAATGTGATGCCAATTCTGCCTTGCAGGATTTTTGGGATAATGAGACACTATACAGAAACATTCTTTGTCTTTACTCTTGTTGCACATAGTATCCTTCTGATACCCTCTCCATGATGACACTGAATACAAACTACTTTTTCAAAATAATACCTATCAAGCCTCACATTTTATTTTCAAGATTCAGAACAGGATGTGATAAATACTCTGTTAGTAGATCACCCTGGCACACATAAAAGAACAAAGTACAAGGGTGAGAAATTGTACTGGGGAGTTAACAATGATTCAGGAGCACTTTGTGTGTGTCCCCATCAACTATAGCTTCTCAAGCAATGACTCACCCTGTGCAGACAGCTGGGACAATAAGCTTTCAGCCTAAAAACATATTTTGCCAACTCAAACGTAGGGCAAGCACTTTGAGTCCCAAAATGAGAATCTGTGGTGTTCTCCTTGTCACTGTCAGTGGCCCTGAATTTTGACATAGGTTCTAAATTCCAGATTTCAGAATACTCAGGTTGAAAATTGCAGCATTAAAAGACTCAGCTGTGAAACCTGAAGTCAATCTGTCATTCTCAAAATAAAAAAAAAAAAAAACCTTAAAAAAGAACCTCCTTCAAATATTTGTGTATTTGTAGGGATATGAAATACTGTCACAAATCTATATGCATTAGATAAACATTCTCCAGTTGAATCTTTAAAGTTGTCAAGATGAATCAAAGTGTTTTTTAAAATTATGCAAAAAAAACACAGTTAGAAAGTAAATATAAAATATTTGTTATGAGACTCATTTTTTGCCTTTCTGGGTAATGGGAAAGATAGCCAAGGAGATAATGAAGGGGGGTATTCAGAATATAAGGGGTGCAATGTTGACACTAAGGCTAAGGGCACACAATTATAATCAATGCCAAACAATACAAGATACTCTACACAAAAGTGAGAATCTACTTGAAGAAAATTTGCTTTATTACTACTCAGGACTGGATATCTCTGTCTGACATGAGTTTGAATACTGCAGAAGCTTTCTGCTGAATGCACTGACCAAGGTCCCTTGACAACACAGTCACATGGATAAGGACAGAAATCCTAGGTGCCACTTTGCACATGGCATTGAGATGATCCCAGAGATTAGAACACCCTGGGATTTTGACCCTGTACAATTCATGCAAGAACAGGGAGGCAGTTACAGTTACCTTGTAAAGTATTATCCTTCATGGATAATAATGACTTCTATTCAACCAACATCCACAGATCCTGTGCTTAGTGTTAGGTATGCCTTTAAGGGAGTGTGTGCCATATGCCATGATTAACTGGCAATTGACTGGCTGGAGATTAAGCAGTCTTGTGAATTGAAGAGTGTCTCCCTTTGCTAAAGCACACTTGTATGTAGTGGGATTAAATCAACAATCTTGACCTGTGAGGACTTTACCTCCAAGCAACCTGCCCACTTTCTAGCATGCTTCAGACTTCCATTTCAGACAAGTGGTGCAGCATGACCAAGTAATGTGAATGGGGATAGATTTCTAGATTTTATAAACAGATGCAAGTTCAGTGTAAGGTTTTTTTTTTTTTTTTTTTTTTTTTTTCACAAGCCTGAAGGACAGTGGATTATTATGGTGGACAGAAGAGATGCACCTTTTAGAATCATCACACATTATTTAAATAAAAGTATTTCCTAAAATACAGCTTGAGAAACCCTATTCTGAAAATCCAAATCCAAAATGCCAACGTGATACTTAAAAATTTTCTTTCAATTTGTAGCATTTTGAATTTCAAAATTTTGGGTTAGGGAAGTTCAACCAATAGTCTATGCAAATATTCCAAAGTCTGAAAACCTCCAAAATCTGAAACACTTCTTGTCCCAAGCAATTCAGATAAGGGGTACTCAACTTGCTGTATTGTGACCGATTGATTCCAGACTTTAGGTGAAGTTTTAAAAGCCCAGCAAAATAAAGTGAAGAAAGTCAGTAGGGCACATTCTAAGTTAAATCCACTGTGGTATGACTCCCTTCATCTTTCCACGTGATAACAGGGATGGTGGGGCTTCTTCTGGGTACCCATCTCTGACAACCCCATGCAGGGTTAGCTGTTCCGTCCTCTCCATATTGGGTGTCTGCCTGTGCTACTCTGCTTACCAGTGCTTTTGGATATGGGTCAGTCCTCCTATTGAATTCTGAGCACAGGTGTGACTGAGATGCACATGCATCATGGAAGTGGGTCTATCTGTTGCTGCAACTCACTGTTTGGACTTGGAGATGCCAGTGAAAGTGTGTGGAGAGAAAGAAGGGAAGGCGGGAGGGAGGAAGGAAGGAAAGGAAGGAGGATTTGGAAACAGCCCAATCTTGTGATCACTACTGTGTATATTGACTCACACTCTGAGATGTTAAAGCCAAAATCATATTAGATCCCCACCTCCCGCAAGTCTGTGAACTCAGAAAGCTGAAAAAGAAGGTATATACTTCTGCAGAGAATGGCTATTTCAGTCCTTTAAATGTATCAAGTGACAATCCCATCAATTACTTTTCTGACAAAAAGCAAAATAGGATCACTCATTGGAATCATTATGTACACACCTGCCATTATAGACAGCTTAAACAATGGGAGTTCTAACTGTCCAAACTTTTAAGTGACACTAAGTAGTTCATGGTGAATCAGGCCAAGTTAAGCAATTCAGTCTATAGAGGTAAAGGTTAAATTGGCTCTGCCAGGTAACAACTTCTGGCTTTGAGGATAAAACCACCTCTGAGATCACCAAATGCACAAATAAGTCTCCTCAACTTTGGGATTGATACAATTTAGACATCCAACATTTATGATCCAGTACTTCAAACAACGACTCTAAACATAGACATGCCAACACAGTTCCTTCATGAAACCAAAGAAGCAGATTTGACATGGTTCCAAAACTGTTTCTGATTGGATTTCATCTTCAACCTTCTGGTTCAAAAAGAATTAGTGAACTGGCATTGCCCCTTTATGATGGGACAGATAATAAAATCAATCTTGCAGTGCAGAAATTGTCACCATCATGGGGATAAGAGCTACTACTATAATGAATATTATTTTAGGCAAGTGAAATTTCATGTGAAATTTAAAGTCATCACTTAATCACAATCTAAAACAAGGTATAGGATTTCATACTATAAAAAAGGAATGTGAAATATCATGTAGGAGAAAAAAAGCTAGTAATACTCTGCAGTCATGATCTATCTCCAGCTTATTGATTGACACATTGAAACAATACCTCTTTCTCCTCCTCTGTCTTCCCATGAGTTTTGCTATAGTTGATAGGAGTGTCCCAGCCCTCTTGGTCACAGAGAGCCTGATAGAATGCTGCATTGACCAGAATGCTGCTTGTTTTGAATGGGGAAGATGAAGGTGTTGGAATGGTAGTATTAGAGGAAGTTAGGGGTGCAGCCTTGTCCAGGATTCGATTTTTTTTCATGCTTAAGTCCAATGTCCCATTTTCATCCACTTCTATCTCGGCTCCCTGATACACAACAGGAAACAGAAAAACATTTAAGCAGTTTGCAGTTATAGCTGAGCCATGTGGGGCTTTTAAGGGATAATTTTAAATGTAAGCTTTTATGGAAGTATATCTGCTTTTAAATCAAGCTTTCTGATTTGCATTGGGTAATGTTCATTTCTTAGGCAGACTTTTAAGAACAGCTCCATTAGTGAGCTTCATGTTTCTGGGTTTAAATAAAGTAAGCTTAATATAAATAATAAGATGCTCCAAATACTAAGAATATTGGCTAAAATTGTTTTGTGTATGTACACATTTTTAAAGTTTAGCTGTAAATCTTCTTTTCTACTTTATAGAATTATTATTCCAAATTCATCATTTAAAGCATTAACATTTGTGTTCATCAAAAGGCACATATAACTCCCCAACTCCCCATCACAATATTAAAGTAACATGAGAAATATGAAAACATAACCAGCTGGAAGAGAATCTTTATTGGAATATCATATAAATATGAAAGCAATGTTTCACCCTAGGTTATTTGAACTGGAAAGCTTTGTTAAATCATGGTGGGTGAGAAGAGAGAGGCAGACAGTGCAACCAGACTTCACACTCAGGGGCCCTCAGGTAGCAGCTCATGGTGTGACTATTTGGGGTTTAATAATGATAACTTCAGGAAAAAGATATTTATTTTGCAGATGCTTAGCATGAGACTTAAAACTAATGTTGCTCCTTGTGATACCTTTTGCCAAACTTTTTCAATTTTTAATTTTTTAAGAAACAGTATTGCAGTCTGTATTTGGCTGAAGTCCCAATAAACTGCTCATGTGTTCTGGATCTGCTTCAAGATTCACACCACAGGGTGGCTTGTATAGAGTCAGAATTTGCAAACATTGCCATGCAGTAACTCCACAAAGCTGGAAGAACATGCTTGTCATTTTTCCAAATAGGTCAAATAACACCTTTCTGGTACATTCAACATCATCTATCAATTCACAATTAACTTCTTGACAGTTTCTTTACTCTTTCCTTTTGGTTGGTAAAGCAAAAGTCCTGAATATATTAGCAAGATCCCTAATGCTCACGGTCAACAGTTACTTTCCTGGGGTTGCATTTTAATTTCTCCCTACTTCTACCCTCTGTCCTCTGACCATTTGCCACTGAGTCCTGGGCAGCACTTAGTCTGACTTGTCATTTATGCCTGATTAAAAAAAAAATAAAAGCACCTCTTCTATTTGCTTGTTTTATGCACAAAGTTCATATTTTCAATCTCTCATTTTACTAGCTAGATATGGTGCATTCTATTTGTAGGAGGTAAATACACTTCTAATATGTTGTACTAAGATGCTTTGGCTATATCTTTCTGTCCATTTTTAGTAAACAGTTTAATCTCCTGTGATAGTTTTAAGCCCTGAATTTGACAGTACAGCTTATCCTGGATAATAACGTAGTAACCACAACATCTTATGCCATCTGTATAATATCAAATACGTTTTTATACCAGCATTAATAAACCTTAGTTACAAAAATCCAAGATATTAACCATATCAGTGCCATGTACTCTCTCCCTTCCATGATCTCACAATGTATTCTGCCAGAAACACATCAAAACAATTTTTGGCTTTATAGCTGATATGTAACTATAGCAATGAAAGAGAGCTATAGTAATCAAGTTTAATGGCCAACATAAAGTAAAATGCTAAATATTGTAGTTGCTGACATTTTTCATAAAAAAATTAAAAAAAAAAACTTGGGTTAAGACTGCACAACCAACATTCACATAAAATTCCAGACCTCTGTGACAGATGGCTTAGGAAAAAGAAGCCATGTGACTGGGCTGCAGAGTTTTATAGTGCAAAACCCATAAATAGTGCAGATTCAATCTCTCTGAAAAATACAACTATTCCAAGACAACACTCATATATATTTTAGTTTTTACAGAAAAAGAATTCCAAATAGTATTTTTTTTAAATATGAGAAATTCTAGGAGTTGTTATGATTATACATCTTGAGTAATCAGGGCTTGAGTGAAAAATAAAATCCCTCCTAATGTTTAAAAGAGGTGCTTTTGTAGACCCATGCCCCAGCCGGCTGCTCTGAGCACCTGACTTGACTCAGAGAGTGAGCTGCATGTTGGGGAGCCGGGTACAGATGGGCTCTAAGTAAGCACACAGATGCATTCAACAATTACACACAGTAACAGCTAAGGGTCCCTTTCTGCCCATAGATGGGAGATCGAACATTTATAGCATAGTTTTTTATTCAGAGCAATATCAATAGGCATCACTTCTCTGGGCTTGAAACTCTAAATGGCAACACAAAAGCGGGGGGGGGGGGAAGGTGGGAGAGGCCAGTGGAGGGAAGAGGCTATGGTCACAGCTCATATGGTCCTGTCCCTCCCACCCCTTCTGACATTCTGATTCTTCAAAGTGATATTTGGGATTCTTATATTAAGTATTTACATGTATGTTTTAAGTTTTTTTGAGGCTAGGGTATACTTTCCATCCTGGGAAAATCATCAAGGTCCATCTATTTCAGCCATTTTTGAGTGATACTACCTACCTTTTATGTATTCAATAAATTACTGAGAAAGCATTTTAATGTGTTTAAGATACTATATTTTGGAGAAAAAATAAACTTGAGAAATAGATTGTTCCTCCCTTGAAGGGGCTTATTTTGTGCCTATAGATTTCTAGCGAAAGATAATTTGATAATTATATGTATATATTATTATTATTAAATTGAAAGTTGAAAGAATTAATGATTATAATCTTTATTTGTACCACAAAATAAGCACTGACATCACTATCCAACAACAGAAAAAACTGTTAATGAAATGGTACGCATTATATGGTCAGTAAAATGTTAATTATGAGGTCTGAGTAACAAGTGATATGGAAAATCTTCATATCATTGAAAATAGGAAAGAGCATGACATTCCTGCTATGCTTACAACTAGGGGAAAGAGACAATTTGTTTTTGAAGACTAAGAGGGAAAACACATAAATTACCATACTTGTATTTAGAGAATAGGCTTACAGCTGTTTTCCTTCATTATTTTCCAAGCAAATGATAATATTATCTTGTTTTGACAATTTAAAAAATTATTCATTTAATGGGGGTAGGAATGAGAATAGAATGAATTGGACGTTATTATCCTATGTACATATATGATTTCATGACCTGTGTGATTCTATATCATGTACCCAGACGAATGAGAAGTTATGCTCCTCTTATGCATGGTGTGTCAAAATGCATTCTATTGTCATGTAGAACTAATTAGAATAAAAAATTCATACATTTAAATATGTTGCTGATGTGAAAACAACATTATCATTTTACCTAAATATTCTGATTATGAAAATTCCTAATTTTCACAACATTGATAAAATAAGACGTATTGCTTTCCTTCTTTTTCAAACTCTCTATTAACCCAGGAGAGATCACCTGCCATCTTTTGACTTCGCAGGAAGGAAGTGCAACCTAAGTGTCATTCCACTTAGGTTTCTGCTGCAATTCCCCCCTGGCCTTCTCTCACAGCCTCTGTTCTTTCATTCTTGTTTCTGTTCTTTTTATCTGGGGAGTACGCTCTCTGTATTGAAAGCTATCTTCAGTATGTTTTTGAAGTAGATAGGTTATTAATAAGTGAATGAAATGGAAATATTTTATTCTTACTCAATGGCAATCAAGCCGTAAGACTCTGAGCTTATAAGCTTGTGAAATACATTTAATGAAACAGAATGATGGGGTGCAGAGAAGAAATGACTAATGTATAGTGTAAAATTTAAATAAAATTTACAGCCACTTCCCCAAAATCTTTGTCTGGCATTTGAAATCATGGTATTAAACTCTTGGGGGACCGACAGTCTATATAACATAAGGTCTTTTAAAAAAAGACATGGATAAGAATTCAAATTTTAATTCCAACAATTGTAGCTGTGCCAGTCAGAGAAAATCATCTAGTATCTTTACAGTACTGTTTCTTCCTCTTCAAAGTTGGAGAATATTAGCTACTTCACTTCTAGAATATTAGGATTAAAATGGATTCATATGGGCAAAGTGTTTATGTATAGTGCCTGGCATATAGTAGGTGTTCCATAAATGATGCTAATAAGGGTTTTTGAACATCAAAAGAGACATACCCCTAGGTTATTAAGTATCTAGTTTTCCTGCACTTATAGGAATAGTCCTTTTGCTTCCTGGGCCAAGACTCTTATCACATTTCACTCACGACGTATGGTTCAATCTGTCCTGATGTTCAAGTTACTGGAGAAGACTGTGTTTGGATCGTAATCATCCAGGGCCACCAGGCTATTCCTGTTAAGAGGCAGCAGGAATGGTGCTGCGACATCATGTCGTTTCGAGGCCTTGTTCAAGCACAAAACAGACTTTGAACTTTAAACATTTCAAGCAAGTGTCAATTTTTTGTTTTCTTTTAAGGCACACTGTGCATATGTCATTTTGTCTAAACAGGTGGGGAAAACACCAAAACAAACAACAGAATGCTTGGCAAGCAGCAGATGAGGATAAAGATAGACTGTGAAGCGTGTTCCTACCTCTGTCGATCAGGGTGGGAGGAAGGAAGGAAAATGGGGAGCGGATTTGACTCAGGCTGGCACGGCTCTCATGGGGCACTGGAGGAAACTACTCAGCAAACCCATGAGGCTCACTCCCTGCCTGTAGGTACCAGGTGCTCTGCTCTTGCCAGGAGTCACAGTATCAAGACCAAGGGGAGGTGTTGGAAGCCATGGCTCATTTATGTTTCATGACTCATATTAATTCCAAATTAAAATGTGGAACATGATAGACATCTTAGAACCAATGAGAGTACTATATGTCACACAGAATTACCTTTAACCTTTATGATATTCCTCTAAGACTGGAAAGTACTAATTGTTTTCTATTGACCCAATTCCTTGAAAAGATACTTAAACCACACGCAGGCAATTTTGGTGGTGCCAATGTATTATGCATAGGCCAGATGGTATTTTAACAGATAAATAATTCCCTTAAAAATCTTCTACTTTTAGGAGGCAAAGGGTTCTGTTTGGGCAGTGACCAGCAATGACTGACAAGCATTGGTGTTCTCCACATTGAGCATAATGGGCTCCTGAGCTTGGTGGAGACTAGCTGGGTGAATGAACAACAACATACACAAGTATGCGCCTTCAGTGCTGGGAAGGGACAGAGAAGCAAAGTGTCTTAGTGTATGAGGCTAAGAAAATATCTGAGGAAAAGTGTATTTTAGTTTACTGTATCATCTTTCATTATTTTTAGGCTATGCAGGAACTCTAAAGTTTTATTGTTCCTCTGAAAACAACCTGTGTTCCCTTGATTTTCCTTAAGGGTGGGGATTTTGCAAATTACTGATTCAGATCTCCCACTAACCTTGGGAGTCAGTTGTGTGCTCACATAGGACATGAAAAAAAAAATCTGTATTAGCCCCACCAAGTGGGCATGCAGGCATATTTTAAGTTAGTGGCATCTGACTTGATTTTAAAAGGTTGTGCCAATAAGTGACAGTCTGATCTTTAATTCATTCTCCTATTGGGTGTGTTAAACAACCAAAGAGAGATATTCATTGCATAAAAGTAAGGAACAAATGGGAACAAAGGGAAAATAAGAAATCAGTTATCATCCAAGTTATGATCAAATTCATAATTGATCTCATCTCTTCAAACTCTATGCTTTATCTAAAACAATGCAAGTCAGGTACCATAACCAGAAGGTCACTTTTTCTGAAGGGTGTGTTGGGGGGGTACTGGGAATTGAACCCAGGGGCTTTTATATGCTAGGCAAGTGCTCTACCACTAAGGTACATGCCCAGGTCCAGAGGGTCATTTCTTTTATCCTGCTTGTCTATAAGTTCATTGAAGGTAAGGTCTGTGGCTCAATCTACCCTTTGACTAGGGCAGTCTAGCACTTAGAGACCTTCTGGAGAGTATAGCTATGGGTTCTCTGCCAGGATGTCTCTCTAATATACCAAGAATGCTCCATTACAGAAGTATAAGGAAAAGCTGTATATTTCTACATTCTCACTGTTAAGTAAGAAATAAGAGATCAAGAGATATGTTTATCTGGGCTATCAGAGATAAACATACTAGCAATCTGCCATGGAGGAAACAATCAAATCTAATAGAAGGAGAATCAGGCTAGCATTCAATGTGGAGAGGAAGACTATACTCAACCCTGCTTTAGGAGAAGGCTCAGAGTAAAGTGTGACACTAACAACAGAAAGGACCCACGTAGGCACTGTTTGCTCAGAGGCCATTTTTCAGAGTTAATTGCCTTGGCTTTTTCTCACTTTCACGAGAAGAAAATTTTTTTTTGTTGTTTCAGGAATTGGTGAGATATTCTTCTGTATTCAGAAAATAGGATCCAACAAGGGCAGGATTCTACAAATTGTTAGAGTTGTGTGAGAATGTACATGTTGGCAGGAATCTGCACAGTGACGTTGCAGGGTGCCATATTTATTCTATTTTAACAATCACTATGTCCAAGGAGATAATGTTCATAAGAAAATGGCTTTTAAAACTCCTGACAGATCAACTCCTTTAAAACATCTTTCAGCACTTTCTGTTTCTTCCCTCCTCGGTGTCACATCAATGGTTTGGTCCCTGCAGACTTGGCTGAGTTGGTAGCAGGAGGCTGAGTCCTACAGTGGAGTCCCAATTACCCCAGGCAAGCCCAATCCACTCCACAGAACTGCCTTGGCACAAGGGGTAGAAGAATATACATTTGAAATAGACTATTTAAACTGTGCCAATTAAAGTCAGTCTTCTGATCAGAAATGTGTTTTTAAAAGAGGATATACACTAATAAGGAAAAAAACACTCAAATGTTTGCTATTTTGTTACATTGTTTGATGTGAGCAATTTAATGGAACACTAAGAATCTTAAGGTGAAAGACAGAATTCTGAGGAGCATAAAAACATTTACATGTGCAGAGGGAAAGCATGCATCCTAGCACCATTACTTGAGTACTTTAAGTGACACTAATAATTATAATACCAGTAGTCTTATTTTCACAGGCCAGCTTAAACCATCAAGAAATAAAGTACTAGCAAGGAAGCTATGTTAGTATTTCTGCAACCAGATCTCTATTAGAATATACCTTTAAAAAGAAATTTACTCAAATTTAAAATGTGGATTTAAAAATAAAGTTGCATTTTAAAATCCTCCAAATCATTTGCCTATGGCAATAGTTTGTGGCTGGGATTCCTTTGAATTCAGACAGTCAGGTATTTTCTTTATATTTTTAGAGAATGTGATTTTCTTTGTTTAAGAACCTCATTTGTTTAAAAATTGTTTTTGAGTGCTTTTTGGCCACCAACTCTTCCTGGGGTTTACTTGGCTCAGTTTTGTCCAGAAGCTAATTCTGATTCTTCTGTCAAATGCTCGGTGGCACTGCACTACCTGCTCTCCTGAAGGCCTGGCACGGCACAGGCGAGCAGCTGACCATTCCAGAGAGGCTGTTCTTAAAGGGGAAAAAAGGGTACAGGCTTTAATTGTCTGGGTTTCAGGGTTTCAGTTTAACCTAGGGAATCTTCCACTTACAGCAAAGGTAAAAGCTGTTATCAAGTAAGCCTGGGCACTTTATTTCAGCTGGCTTCAGCCTTCTAGGTAGGGAAATAATTTCTTTTAATTGAAGTGCTTTGTGTAAATAGGAGTTACTGGCTTCAGTGGGAGGAAGTGGCTTGAGCCCCTACAACCTCCTCTTGTGGATCACTGGGGCACTTGCAAAGTCCCTCACTGGCAAAAGGCCAAGCATGAAGGCTCTGTGTATGTATTAGTCAGGTTACCATGAGCATACCCAAGTACTTCTCATATGTAGAAAGGAGAAGCTGTAGAAAAAAATGTGATTCATATTTCATGGGCTTCAGAAATGTAGTGTTTTCATAAAGATCACAATATTCGATTTTGGATTAGAGTGTTACAAGTTCTCAAACCTCCCTGCTGATTTAATATACCCAGGAGTTCCCATGTGTCTTCTAAGAATGCTCCGGCAACCTAGACTATATTATGTTATGAGACAGTAACATGTGCAATAATAAAATTTCATGGGTCAGTTTTGCAAATGTTTTGCCAGTTGCTGTTTAATCAAACATTTCTTATCATCTTTGATTTGCAGGCAGCAAAAGCTTCTATGATCAATATTTATTTTAATATCAATCCTCTTTTCTTATTCGATCAAATCCCCTTAACAAAAATAGCTTTGAAATCTGTAAATTCTCCCTGACCAGTCTCCATAACTCACTTCTCCCTAAACTATGGTACCCCATTTTCCAGAAGAGCCACCAGCCAAGGGATGCACACTTTCTTTCTTTGGACCCACCAACTTCATCCACTGTCAATGTTCCTCTTCCTAAGACAGGGAGGGGATGGCTTTAGGGTGGAGGAGCTGAGTGGTGGCAAATGTGGTTAGGAACATGAAAGGCAGTTTATTCTCACGGTTCTGTCGCTGGCCCACCCTCCGGGCTCTTGGACTGGCCTACCTTGGCATGCAGACTCTGTGGTTTGTTGGAGAGGATGTCTGCGGCTTCCCTGCAGCGGGTGGAAAGGTTCAGGATAGCAGCAGCTGCTGCTATGTGGGTGTCTTCACTACATTGACCGTAGCTATAAGAGCTGGCACGGCTCGCGCTCTGTGTGTGGGCGCCTGCACTAGGCAGTCGATTAGGAAATTTGACTGGATTTGAAAAATGCTTTGCTGTTGAAGAGAGATTTGATTAGCAATTGCATGTACGTGGTTTTAGTCATTAAATAGATTTGTTTTTTAAAGATATAACTTCTTGCATTAAAATATGTGAAGAATAAATTAACGCATGAGCCATTATCCATTGGTATGTTAAATGAAGGTTATTCAGATGGGTTTTCATGGAGGTTCACAGATCAAATGATGTGATTGCTGGGAGAGAATGCCTATTCTCTTAATATTTTTTGTATTGACACTTCTTATGACAAAACTCTATGACTAATGTTATGGGGCAGGTGCACTGGCAACATTTGTGGCAAAAAATGAAGCTCAAAACCCTATAAGCAAAACCTATCAGGGACTACAGAGAGCTTACGGCATGTATATCTAAAAATTATATATGTATAGGGCCCATAATTCCAGTACAGAAAAAATACATCCTTTCAATATTTGTTTTCACAATGACAATTTATACTTAGACACGTAATTGTATTTTTATTTGTTGACACAAAGGTTTGTTCTATACTTGAACTAGTAGAAAGTGTTCTTCATCCAAATAGAAGAAACTAAATAGATGGTGGAGTCTTTAATGAGCTGGCATTTTGCATATTCAGGGAGAGCGAGATAAGCAAAGGACAGGGAGGAAATGTTCTCAAGGTGAACAGAAAGGCAATTTGGTTATCAAGACCGAGTTTCTATTTTATTTTTCTGTTCGGAGTAGCAAGGCATTACTGAGAGATAGAATTACACATATATCTCTTCACTGTGGGGTGTCTGTAAATATTACTCAAGGTAATGGGAGAAACACCCAAGATTTAATGAGAGCTGATACAAAAGTGTTCACCTGTTTATTTTTCATTAAGTATTTATTATTTTAAAAATTTGATTGTTTTTCATAAGACCCAATTTAAAATATTACCAAATGTTATTCCTATAATTACAAGAATATAAAAATGTCTTTGAATGCTTTGCCATTTTAAAAATCAATATCCATATTATGTGAGTGTATAGAATGTTCTTATTAAATGGCTGTATGTGCATTAAACATATGTTTTTGTGTATATATGAAGTGCATAAAAATAAAATTATATATCTGTAAAACTGTACAGATAGATATAAAACATTGTTTGTGTGTATAACATTTTTTCCCCCTGAATCTAACAAGTTGTCATTGGTTATTTAAGTTTGCTGGGACCTATTTTTTGGTAAGAATAGGCAAAATATCTTTTTGGAATAAAGTGTACTTTTTAATCAATGGGTAAAGTCCTTTCAAATCTGTTTATATACTGCTAGGTTTTATTATTTACAGTGCTGGCATCAGACAAAGAACTTTGAACATGCTAGACAAGGGTTTTACCTCCAAATTGCATCTCTAGCCTTACTGTTGGTTTTACACTCAGTCTAGGTGCAAGATCTAAAGGATTTCAGGGGTTTGTATTGCTGTAAAAAAAATTAAGCTTTTCTTTAATGGAAGTTAAGCTACCTAATGCAGGAATCATTTTCTGTATTTGTTCCCAATATTTATTTTCTCACCTTTTTATCAGAATATTTAGGTACTCCAAAGAACCTGAAGAAATAGGTAAGTAAAAACATCAAGTTTTTGCCGGGGATGGTGGCACACCTGTAATCTCAGTGGCTTGGGAGGCTTAGCTAGGAGGATTGAGAGTTCAAAGCCAGCCTCAGCAGTGGCGAGGTGCTAAGCATCTCAGTGAGACCCTTCTCTAAAATACAAAATAGGGCTGGGATGTGGCTCAGTGGTTGAGTGCCCCTGAATTCAATCCCTGATACCCAAAACACAAACAAAAAACCCCCAAACCACCAAGTTTTATACATTATATCTTCCATATGAACCTGGCAGAAGTAGAGTATTAGTTTATTTTAAATATTTGTATATTAATTCTTAAATTTGTGAGTACATGCCATGAGAGCCACACACATTTTTTTCCTGGTAAAAATCCTGATTCCTGAATTGAATTTCTTCTTAGATCTTTCACCTTTCCCAACCCCATCTTCAGCCTGAATGCTTTTGCTGACCTAAGTAATATATTGAGTAGCATTTCAATATTTTATCTGATAATTTCCATCATTTCAATGTGAATAAAAATAATGTATCACAATAGCCATTGCATTTTTAAATATATTTTAATCCTAATCCTAAATGTGAATTAAATGTTTCTTTAAAATTACCGTATTTGGATGCAACAATGGCTGAGTAGTTGTAGAATAATTAACTCATTAACTATTCACTACATTCAGTGTAACTTCAGGATAAAAGCAGTAACGCTGATCAATTATTTTATTTTGCTGCACAATCTATTTTTTTCCTGTCAGCTTTAAGTAGTATAGTATATACTTGAGTAGCTTCCCTCAACATCACACATTTACACAAGATGCATTTGAGGGGAATAAGAATTTAAATTTGAAGCTTACATTCAGGAAATGGTGGAGTTTTTCGTCCTTGCCCTGTTTGTACAAGGGGACGTTTACCGAAGACTTGGGCATCAAAACTGGCATAATCAAATGGTACTTTTCCAAACTTCTCTTGTTCTTTCGATACTGTGGCTCTGGGAGAAGTGATGGCTTGTGATCGGAAATTGAACTCAATTTGCTTCACCAAGCTTGTCCTGAAGAGAGTGGGGAAGTAGTTCAAAATAAAATGACATCATCACGAGTGTATGAGTGTCAAAATTTCCAAGATAGAAGTGTCATTGCCCGTAGGTACCCACAGAGACACTGCACAATAACAAGAAAGTGGTCACAACACAAGAAGGCAGAGTACTCTGGACACAGAGCAAGAGATGGAGGGATGTTCTGGACTCTGCCTGGTTATGATTTCTACTACATATTTACTGTCCCAGTCTTCCACTGGCAAGATAAGAATATGCAGTCTCCATTTACCTCATGAAGATGTCGTGAGTAACATGTTGTCGGCACTTTAAGTTCTGCAGAGAAAAGTGACATGTGACTGCATAACTAAAGTATGTGTTAAGGCACTGGTATATGCATTTTGCTTATTAAAATTGTTAATTATTAGCAATGAATAGTTATGACAATAAATAGTTATGATCATTCATTGCTAATAATTAACAATTTTAATTATTTAATTGTTATGTTCATGCCTGCTGCCTATGGGACAGTGTAGACACCAGAAGACTTGATTCCCAAATTTTGAGTTCCAAAAAAATTTTGAGGCTTTAGTTTCATTGATGGGTTTTGGATTAGATAAAGGAAATTTTAGCTTCTACATACACATAATTGCAGGATTAGTGAATTTTATTATTGTATATGTAATTTGGTTTATAGTCCTAAAGTTGCATAAATGTTCTAATCTAAAATAACATCAATCCTTTATGAAATGAGCAAAGTGTACTTTTTGTTATTTCTCTATTTGATAAATAATCTACTTAGGGAGAAAGTAAAGCATACAGTAATACTAACCTAGAATCCCATTTTAAGATTTCTAATTGCTCCTTAAGCAGTAATTCATGATTGTCACTTGACATATGTTTTTATTCATGTGATTCGAATGCCAATTTTTACTCTTTTAATTAAATCTATAGAAACAAAATATTAAGGGAAGCTATGCCCTGAAAATACTGAAATGCATAAGAGCTGTTTTGACATTTTAGCACCTCATTAACAACCGTTATCTGATCATTTCTCTCAATCCTGAAATCGTTTTTCCTGCATGTCTGATTTTTGTAGAATAGACATACACTGTCACATTAAACTTCAACGTACATACTTTATTATTTAGGTATAAGATCTTCCAAACTAATAGATACAAAGAATATGGGAGCTACAAGGACAAATGGAAGATATTTTATTAATAGCTATCCATCATAGAATAAAATTTTGCTCTAAAAACTACATGTATATGGGGAGCTCAAGGATAAAATATAATATCACATATTTTGAGGGGGTATTAGAAGTTTATGATGTATTTTCTCCAGGCAGAGAAGGTGAAGTCAATCACAAAGGGAAGCTTACCTGACTTGAGAGATGTGTTACATTAATGAATCAGAATTTTGATCATTGTATATTATTGAAGGCTTTATTCCTTTTAGACTCTGCCCGTATTGTGTTGCCTTAGCAAAGAGACCAATTTCAAGTTAAACTTCTGGAGGGTCTCTTAGCTCACTTAAGAGAGAAAGTATCATTCTCTAGACCAGCCTTTCCAATGAGTTGCCCACACAGGTCCACTGGTGGCTGAAAATGAGGGTCAGGCCACAATGAAGTGACACATAAGGGACATGAGGTCCTGTTGAGCTGGATCCTGGCATGAAGAGAACATCAGGAACTTCCTGGGAGCTCTTACCTGTGTGCCTGGTCAGAACACGGCCCAGTTTGGGAAGAATCAAGCTGATTTTTATCCTGGGACATTGCCAATTTTTCAGCTGCAGCAATTGGACAACCAGAAAGACTGTTTCAAAAAAGAAAAGCGGGAGGATGTGAGTTAAAATGATAATATGATTTGCTTTGGCATGTGCCTCGCAGCATACTTGGCACACACTAAATGTTAAGTCATATTAATAGTTCACTTAGCACTATTCTCATATGAAAAGATCCCAAAGCGGTTTTCAAACTACCTTGTCAATACTTGTCCCCCAACCCCATCTCAGTGATGCAAGGTAACAAGCTCATTTTAAAAAATCAAAATATTACATAAGGGAATAATAATTAAATTATTCTGAAACTTTTAATATTTTCAGCAGTCTGTGCTCATTCCAAATGCAATGGGTCTAACTATAGATATTAGCATGGTAACTATATAATTTATCTTAGGATATTCAGCAAATTTGAGGGATTGAATCTTATAGTTTAAATTGAAGTTTTCTTGGCCATGTGCTTATAATTCAAATAGTACCTCATAATCACAGTCCACACATAAAATGCACACACAAAACAATCCACATTTTCATATGCAAATATATACACATATATACACACACATAATGCATTTGTATATAAATGCACATAAATGTTCTATTTTAGTTGCAGTCTCAATGGAAGTATGTTACCTCATTGCCTGGTTAACAGTCAAACCACTGTATGTGGAAGCCCTTTTGATTCTTTCTTAATGCCTAGGGGGTGGGATCCAAGATAACCCATAAGCAACTCTTTTCAGTACCAACACTATAATGATGGGCTTCCAGCGTAGAAGAGAATATATTCTATTTGTCTGACTAAATGAACATGTAACCCCAGCATCTTCAAATTTAACAGTTTTTCATTTTTGAAATTGGCTGCTAATATAAAAACTTCTATGTAAGGAAATAATGAGGTGATTTTTCTTTCTTTTTGACTCTGCAAAAGTTGAGACTATTCCTTATCTATTTCAAGCGGCAACATATTTGATAGTGATGCAGTGATTTTCATAACACACAGCCCATAATTTGATTGGTGGAAAGCTTCAATTTTTTAAAATGTAAAATCATTAGCAAATCATCAGAATTACCTCCTGTGAGTGTTGCGATTACTGTTCACATGACCCCTTCCTGTGCATCCAGGGGTGGGACACTTGAGCACATTTTCATGCATGGCAAGAACTAATCACAAAATAGCACATTAAAGAGAAGAATAATTTACCATAAACATATAAAAAATCAACATGTTCATTTCTTAATTTTGCAATTAAATGACTTGTTACATAATCCACTATGCTCCCTCCCCAGATATATTTAGTTGAAAAAAAAAATAAGAACACCAGAACTTCAAAAATTAAATCTAGCAAGATTTATCATGTTAACTGCTCTGAACTCCAAGTTATATTTAACCATAGACTTAAACGACTCTATTCAGCTCATATTTAATTTAAACTGAAAAGTTCATCACCTTCCTTCCACATTCAAGTGCTTCCCCTGGAGGAGTGTTTGGAGAACAGTATTTGCCAAATAGCTCTTTCCACCTTTTCCCCCATTTGAAGTTCTGCCTGTAGTCTTTTTTAGTTCCTAAGTGATGCTATATTGATTCTTTCTCCAACCACCATCCACTGCCATGTGGTATTGGAGAAAGTATTGCTGAGTGGCACCTGCCTGTAACCCCAGTTACTAGGGAAGCTAAGGCAGGAGGAACCTAAGTTTGAGACCAGCCCTAAGAACTTAGTGAGACCCTGTTTCAACATAAAGAAATTAATAATAAAAGGGCTGGGGATGTAGCCCAGTGGTAGAGTGTCCCTGGGTTCAACGCCTAGTACCAGGGAGGGCAGGAGGGAGAGGAGTATGGATGACTGAACTATCAGAGAATTAGTCTAAGGAATTGCTAACTCAGCAGCACAGGACTAATTTGGTTAGATTAGTGACTTGCTAACTCTTAATATTAAGGAAGGGAATGCTAAGGTGTCCCTATTCTTCCAGTTTGTATGGCCTAAGAGGTGTCTCAATAGATTCAAACAGTATGTTATATCTTTGTAGCTTGGAAGGTGGCAGCCCTTTATTTACCTGTAGAGACCTGGTTCATAGTAGGACAGGGATGGGGTGATGTACTGAGGATTGCCTTTGCTCAGGGCTCTTAGCTGTGACAGGATGTCCCAAGACAACACTACAGAGTACGTGTTCTCACAATGTGAGGAGGCCAGGAGGATGCAGAGACCTCCCTGTGATGTCCTGAGGCTAAGCTTGACCCTGGATATATTGGAGGTCAGACCTCAGGCTGAGAAAGAACTGTGCAGTCACGCAGGGCAATATGGCTTATTTTTTGGGGTTGTGATGCTTTGACACCTGGGACTTGCTGACCCAGGAGGAACTGCCCCTCCCAGAGTTAGCCAGCTCCTAAAGAAGGCACACAATTGACCAGCTGAGAACACTCTTAAACTCTGGTGCCTACATCCAAGGAACTCATTTGGTTCTAATATTCTAGGTCAAAGTCCTTTACCCTAATTATCCTAGGGTCATGGACCAAAGAACTAGGGACAAATCTTATACCCCAGAGCTAGAGGAACCAACAACCCTTAGTCCACTTACCCTTCCCTGTATGATCCTTTACATAGAAATTAAAGGCTTCTGGCCTAAAGTTCCTCCTGCCCTTGCCTCCTGACACAACCTGGGGATTCTGCATATGACCCCAGTGGCATGATGAGACCCCCTCTCTTAGGAAATATGGGTAGCAAGCTATCTTCTCAATGCAATTTTCTCTTTATCTGCTGGACTTCTTGTCCCTCAAATTTTCTACCAATACACTCCATTTTAAAACATACAGCTAGATGGAAACTGCTTGACACAGAGAAAACTTTGTTTCCATTGTGAATTCCAAATTGGGAGAGAAAGCAACCAATATTGTGATGTTCTGGTACTTTTAAGAAAGCACTGACATCTTTAGGAATAGGCAGTACTCACTTTCCAGGGGAACCCGCACTTTGTGGGGGCATCCTGAAAGGCTGCGGTGGTGGGGATAGAGCCCGGTCACATGTCCTGTGCCATCACACCCGGGGATAGGGCACTTGGTCTCCCTCTTTTCAGGCCTCGGTGAATCTACAGAGAAATTAAATTGAGAAATTCATTTGGCTATTCTTCTTTCTTTTCCTATTCAATAGTGGCCTTGCAGGGTGACATTCTCACTTCATTCAGTTTTACCATCATAAACATTCTTCTCACATTGCCTTGAATAAGACCCTCAACTAAGACCTGTGGAAACATAAAACATGTTTTCAATTTTCTTGGTTTCCTAAGCAAAGGCTGACACAGGGCAAGGGGCTGTTAAAATACAAAGATGGTCTCAAGTTGTCATGTCACGTATTATAGTTAAAGCCTCATTATGAAAAATCACCCCTATGCCAGAGGGTGAACAAGCTCCTGAAAAGGAAAAAGAAAGAAAGAAAAAGAAAAGTGAGAAAGAAGAAAAATATTTATTTAATCCCAAACCATCTCCTATTGAAAGAGTCTAGAAAAAGCCAGATTCAAAATTACAAAACAAACTACCATATCTGAGAAAGGATTCTCTGGCTTTGTCCCCATGTGTCACTAGCAGCAGGTAGCCCTGGGGTTGAGGGCCAACCAGAAGCTCAGGAACAAGCAGAGGTAGCTTCCTTCAGAGCAACTGATAAGAGTCTGGATAAGACTTGTGTTCTGCCTAACCAGTAGTACTGCAAAATCCTGAGATTCCCAAACCCCAACGGCTTGTTACTTAGGTTCCACACACAGTGACTGTGGTGAAAAGCTGTTGATTTTACTGACTGCAGGAACTGAGAACTGAGACTTAGAAAAGCAATGATCTTGCTGGGGACTTTCAGAAAACAGGGTAGGGGCTGCCTTCCTGGTGGTGTGGAGAGTGCTACTGTGCAGCCGGGTGTGGTGTGGTTCTCAGGTGCAGCTAGGCATGGAAAGGGCTACCTTGTAACATATTTTGTCAGCCTGATATGGGAAAAGAGCCTGGAGAGAAGAGGGCCAAAGACACGCTCAGGAGTTTTATAATTTTTCTGGCATCACAGTGTGGAGGTCTAGATAAAAGGTTATATAAATACTTAACATAAATGAGTATGGAACAGGAATACTGATGAGGTCAGAGCTAATGCAGTGGAGGCCTTAGTTACAAATGTATATATTTGTGATTGAGATGGTTGATAAACTTAAACAGAAATACTGTCTTATAGCCCAAATTGCCCCTAATTCATGCTTGGAATGATAGCAATCATGGAGAATTCTATTCCTCATCAGCATTCAGGGTGTTTGGAAGAAGGATGAGAAGACTGTGAGCCATGGGAGAGAGGGAAAAGGGAACTGCAGGAAGGCTTCAGGATTCTCAGAAAGCCAAGCAACAAGCATAATGCTTGCTGCTGACAGCAAAAATAAAAAATCCAGATGATTCTGCCCAAGAAGCTGCTGGTGACAGAGTATGAGAAAGGGCCCTGCTGCTCAAGGATGTGGATCCCTCTCATGCTCCTGGCTCCAAGTGGGGCACCCAGAACAGGCTACTCTTGCAGGATGTGAACAACATCACTGGGGCAGTATATGGCAAGTAGGCAAGCTTCTGTGACACCATGTCACCCCAGTTGTTGGATTACAAACAGTCCTGGGCAGATGGGACACAGCAGGTTGTATGTAATGCAATTACATGGGGGCATGGTTTCAGTGAAAGAGGGAGGAGCAAGGATCCTTCAAGTTGCCACCTGCACTACCCATAGAGGAAGGGTCAGGACACAGAAAGCTTGAGTTGTAAATGAGCAGTGAGCAGCCAAAGATAGGGACGCATTCAGCAGCAGGTATTTATAGTAACCACAGATAGGATTCAAAAGCAATGACTGATGTTGAGACTACCATCTTTTTATTTTATAAAGGACCAAAAAAAGCATATTAAGAGTTTGTGATGTTCTGTGACTTTGTGCATGTCTGTTTCCATTTACTCTAAATTTGGTGCCAAATTTCAAGTTGATTTAGGTATGTAAAATCTGTAGACCACTAGTCAAAAACCTTGAAGTTTGATTAAAGTGAACGGAGAGGGGCTGACACCATAACAGAGAGCTGCTCACAGGACGCAGAAGAGCAACAATGTGTATTTTGATGCCCTTCCTCTCTTGGATCTCCTCCAGGCGAGGCCACATTTCTAAACCGCATTGAAAGGTTTGGCGCTGAGCATTTCCCGTCCTTGCCACGCTGTTTGTCTGCATGAAGCCAGAGAGGGTGTTGGAGATAACACAGGCTGGCACCTGCCCAGGTGGGGCCACTGACAGTCCACCATGCACCTTTGTCTTCAAGCCTCTTCTTGGCTGGGCAAAACAAAGATGCAGATTTGAAATGCTCTGGAGGGCAGAATCTGTTCGCATGATAAGAAGCCAGAGCATGAGCTCAGGGCAACTCTCAAGCTGATTCTTCTTTTATTTTCTTTGCACAGTGTTGCACAATGAGGGTGACCTTATACTCTAGTGATGTTAGATCCTAGTTTTCCTGGGACTGTCTTCGTAACTGGTAGACTTGCATATTGTTCCTATTGTCCCCCTTTACTTAAAAAGTATCACAGTTGGGCAATAAACTACATGATGACTCTACTTACACTGAGACCTATGGTCTCTAAATGCTTAGTGGCCATAGTATGCTGAAATTTGTTGTAGAATCAATGACTCATCTGAAGCCTTGGGTAAAATGATATTTTAAAATTCTGGTGTTCTTAACAGTGAAGTTGTATGTCCAAGGTGTACACAAAGTCAGAATTGTTTGAAGAAGATGGCTATCAGTCGGGATGGATGCTCACTTAATATGGAGTGCATGTTAGAGAAGAAAAATCCCTCTTGTACTTCACCAGGAATAAGGAACAGAAATGTGAATACTTAATTTAGATTCACAAGCATCCTTATGTAAACCTATAGTTCCCCTGCAATATGGGTTTCACTTTTTTTTTTTTTACCTGTTTCATAGGAGCCTGGCCCTGATCTTGCAGAGGCTTACACACCCTAAAGCAGGAGCAGACCCTATGCCACAGGACATCTTATTGACTCCTAGAGTCATGTCTCCAAGTGACCCACCATTTACAAATACAGATTTTACTGCTGTGTTAGTTTTCGAAAACAAAAAAAGTTTAAAAAGCTTTATTACAAAAAAAAAAAAAGCCAGAAGATCATCAAGTATTTTAAGCTATGGCTCAAAAAGTTTCTACAAACACTGGATTTCATTGGTTGTAAGATATCAATCATAAGACGAAAGATCACTTTGTATGCAGTTAAGAAACTAGTGTGTACCTTTCTGATTTCAGAGTCATTAGAACGGGAAATTATATATCTTAGAATCAATGAAACATGGTATATTAAAAATTACAGATTTGGACTGGGGATACAGTTGGTAGCGTACTTGCCTCACATTTACAAGGTCCCGGGTTCAATCCCCGGCAACACACACACACACACACACACACACGAAGTTACAGATTTGCAAAATTTGGAATAAATTTCATCTTTTTGTCAGATTTGTAGTTCATTAAAAGAAAACAGGCAAATTAAAAAAAAAACTGTATATTAGTGGGAATGCACAGAGCTAAATACAATGCCCTGTCTTGAACCACACATTAGTCATTAGTATTCTGTCCCTATTCCAACCCTTGTAGGATGTTTGCATCGCATTATGATCATGCTCCTTACTACATGACATTATTTTAGTCTTTTCTGTTTTCTCAGCTCTGAGATGAAAGACATTATTTGTCAAGATTGCAGGTGAGTACGCAAATGGAATTAAATGACAAAATTTACAATTCATTTCTAGATAATCAGAACTTCTAAACAATATCAACATAACATTCCTATAAGCCCTTTAGATCTATGATCTTGATTTTCTCTAAGATATTCTTCCCCTAATTCTGAGAATCACCTAAGAACTATTGAAAAAAAATGCAAATTATGGAGCTCTGAATCTGGCTCCTGGAAATAACCATCTTAAATGGGACTTCCAGGCCCTGCGAGACAACTAGAAAATTCCACATAACTGTTGGAATCCACTGGACCTATCTGGTGCGAGACCTGGTAGAAAAATGGGCAGAATACTCCATGGGGAAAAGGAGACATAATTTTGTTAAAGACTGAGGAGCAATTTTAAAGTATCCTCAAAGTATGTTCACTCTGTCATTTCGAGTTTGACCCAGATATTTATGGCCCTGCATCAGAAAGCTGGTAAGACTACAAACACATTTTAAACCCAGTTTTATCCCAAGAAGGATCAGAGCACCCTGCCTGGCTTACAAGTAACTTAATATCATTTTGAAGCTCAAAAGCGGCCAGATGATTTTGAAGGAGAGTAGGAAAGAAAAATTAAATTTCTGGAATTGATTTGATAATTAAAATGATTTGAAATGCAACAAGTGCTACTACTAACAATATCCAATAAAGTAGTTTTTAAAGGTATGATTTGTTATAAAAAGCAATTACATGGTAAATGCTGTTGTGTCTAGTTTGCTAGAATAAAAAATAAAATTTAAAAAAAAGCAATTACATTTTAAAAATACATGCAATGAATATTTTTTTGGTGTGAAGTTCCTGCAAAACGAATCAAGTTTGATTCAATAATAATCTAGAGAGTAGGGGTAAAAATAAGAAATTATTTATTTCCCAGTTATGAACTGGGACTTTAAAAGAGCATTCAGCAGTCAAAAACTTTCTGGAAGAAATAACAAAATTTAATCTCTTAATCCTAAGGTAATTTTATCCTAAAATGAATGAAAAAAAATGTTTTCTTACGTTTGTTGTTAAAAATTTGTCTTCCACCCATGTCAATAACTTTGGTTTGCCGCCTTTCCCCCGTCAGGTGTTCTAGCAGAAATCTGTCCAGCTCTTTGTAAGTACTGTGGAAAACGCAGCCTCGCTCAGCCTGCAGAGCAATGGCCTGCTCCAGCAAACTCAGGTTCCCCTTGGCTTTCTCCAGATCACTGGATTCTTCTGTCATTGTGGCCAGGCTCTCCCTGTCTTCTTCCTCAGTCTCAGTGAAGGCAGATTGGGCTTTGCCATCCAAGGGCTCCACATGAACATTCTGCGGTTCTCTCAGGTCTGCATCAGGATCACACCTGTTCTCACAAGGGATAAATTTGTCACCTTCTGTTTTTATTTCAGGAATTTCCAGTAGATCTTTTTTCTTATCTGCTAACATGTACTTTGGGCCTCTCTGAGGTTTGGTGTCTTCTGACAAGTTGGAACCACTGTCCCACCCATTCTCTGCACTTTCAGAGTTACTTTCACTGTCATCAGAAGAGCAGAATGGGGGCTGGGAATCATCCACTTTGTCTCTTCCATCATCAGAATGAATCATAAAACACTCGTCTGTTTCATCACTCTCTGCTTTTAAAGATTGGATGCCACTGTCATTGAGGTTTTCACTTATAGTCTGGACAGACATATTTTTTTCAAATTTCCCCAAGTGCATTAGAGATTTGACTACCAGCTCTTGATAACAAGTATATTGGTCTTCTTTCTGAGGGGAGTTTTCTTGTGCAGTTGAATGAAGATTCTCATCCGCAGGTTTTATCATGATTTCTTCTGTAGAAAAAGAACATCAATATTTGGAAATCAAGAATAAAAAATATTACACACACACACATATACACAAATATATAGCCCCATGCATATGTATGTGCATGCACATGCATATGTATACACACAAATACATAATTAATATGTGTAATATGTGGTCGCTATTAATTTTATAAACATTAGAAAAATATATATGCTCTTAAAATAAAACTTAAAGCTTAATATTCGGAAATTGTCTTTAAATCAATTAACTATTATAATTTTCATACATTAAGAGCTAAGTGCTTCTGGGGTACTGACCAAGACAAAAAGATGATATTTAACAACAGTAGAGTTGTAGATGTAAAATGACTGCCATTGTACCTATTATATGAATTCCCACATCTTAGCCAATGAGAAAAATTGAATATACATAATACTATATATTGTAAATAAAATATTCATCAGATCACTGTGTTAGCGTGGGATTATATTTTCAAAGCTTATTTGGTTGATGTTCTCCATTTTTCTCAGATGTACTCTCAGATTTTATGGAATATTAATTAAGATACAAAATACATCTACATAGAGATGATAATTGAAGGAACTCTGAAGCTTTCAGGTTTCTTGTTTACTTTGCAACTGTCACACTAAAATTTCATATTGAGGAAAACACAAACAGGAATAATAGGGATTATCAGATAGTAGCTTAAATAGTAACACATTTCCTGGTTTGATACTTGCGTGCATGTGTGTAAAAAGAAAATGAGATGAGGAGAGGAGCTGATTGGAGAGGCTGGAGACAAGCTAGTTGTCCTCTGTACAGAACCATCTTGGGTTCTGAAAGTCAAGGTATCCTGTGACCTGGAGCAGGCCCCAAAAGCCAGGCTGCCCAACACAGTCAGAGAAATGGCTGCCATCCTAAGATAGCTGTCAGAGTCATCCCTTCACTGATTGAGGGTGACAGTTTAGATATAGAGTGGTGAGCTTACTCAATCCTACCCCATTGCATAGGCACCAACTGATGGTATGGACTGTCTAGGGACACCAATCCCAACCCAAAGCATGTGGAGTGGTGCCCAGCAAACAGCAGGTTATGGAATGCACCAAATACCTCAAGGATGGTTCTCTGACACCCACTAGGACAAATAAAACAACACACACACACACACACACACACACACAAAGAGGAAAAAGATGAACTGTTTCTGTATCTGAAAGGCAGGATGGGGGGATGGGAAATACAAAATAATAAGCCCCTTTTAAGACTGTTAAAGACACCAAGTGAAGTGTATTCTGTATTAATAAACATCTTTGGAGGAAGAAAAGAACAGCTATTGGTGCGAGGGCTGTGGAAGAGGGTGTCTGTGTGGAAGACAATGTGCCTTTTTTGTCTCATTTAATTTTTTATAAACATTGTCTCTGACAAGGACACTCAAAAATACATCTCCATCATCTTCCTTTCTGGTAATTATCTTCCTAAATCAACACTGGACTGCCAGGATCAAGTAAATATTGCCATAGTAACTAAAAGCATTTTTGGATGAAGGGAAGAATTCAGTCACAACACTGGCCCCTGTAAATAATGCTGATTATAGGGTGCAGTCTTTTGTTGGGATCTATTCAACGTAAACTGAAAAATTTAACATTTTAGTTCCTAGAAAAGAGGCTGGATAAACAGGCACACAATATTTGATAGGATGGGCCTATCCTCTCCTGAATTCATATCAGAGGAACTCCAGGTTTAAATAATATATTAAACATAGTCTAAAATGCAAATGAAGTTTTTCTCAATATCACGGTTGGCTATTAAGAGAAAGTGTAAAGGGTTATGATAATTTTAAAGTATTATGAACTACAGAAAACAAATAAAAAGCATTTTCAGTGAATATGCTCAATTCATTGAACTATTCTCTCACTCCACTTAACTACCCACATGTGTACAATAATGATTTATAGACATTATACCTAATTATGCATATTTGGGCTGTGTTAGAGTGCTAACAAAAGCTCTAGAAAGCAACAATTACCTCTGTTGCTTAGCTACATAGTTTAAAATATTCCTATTAAGTGCAGATCACCAGAGAGGCGGGTGTGACAAACATGCACATGTGCACGACAATGCACTTCACTGTGCGGCTGCCAACTGCTAGCATTTTGGGTCATTTCCAGTTTACATAATTGTTTGGTTCAACTGTTTGTTATATGCTAAAAGAAAATATTTATTAATTATTCTTCAGAAAAAGAGGAGCCCGCCGACAGAGGTGCCTACGTGCATTTCATGCGCTGGTTTCTGGGGATGTTCTTCAAGCTGCAAACCAACTTTCCACGTTCCCAAACACCTACCTGGCTTTCTCTATGGTCATAAGGAAAAATCTGAGTTTGCTTTTGAATTTGACAGATCAGTGAGCACATGCGGGTTTCTCTCATTTTGTGATGGGCCACTTGCCTTTTTTTTTAAAGGCTATTTTTTATTTTCCTGGGTGGGACTGTGATGTATTTTGAGCTTTTGCCACTGAAATAACTAAAGTAGCCATGTCTATAGAGCCCACAGAGCAAGGGTCAAGCTCTAATGCTGGTGTTCCTCTCTGTGACCACTGGACAGGTAGCTCAGCTCATCTAAGCCTGGTGTCTCTATTCAAACCCTGAGGACAGCAGTGTCACCCTGTGTGCATTCTGTGAGGTCACATGGGAACACCTAACAGGCATTCTGTAAATGATGGCTCTTCTTCCCCTTCCTGGATATTATTTTCGAAAACAGTAGTAATGGCAGTGGGCATGTGGAAGGGTGGGACTGTTCTTCTTTTAGAATGACCAGGAAAACTAATGCCTAAGGAAAGCAAGGTCCACAGGATGAGAAGGTTTAGTGGATTCACCACCTACGCAGACTCTGGAATGGTTCAGCAGTTGTCTTTGAAAACTGGCAGCCAGTGCACGATGCACAAATCCATGGGGTGTGAAGTCCAGAGCCCGGGTTCAAGCAGTGTCATACAGTGCTGCTCGCCTGTAAGACACTGACCAGGTCCCTGGTCTCCCCAGTACAGACTCCTCGTCTTCAAAATAAGGATGATTCAATGACCTAATGACTGGATGACTCAACGACCCTTTTTAGGACAATAAATTGATACGTCCCTGGCAAGGTATTCCATTTGTTATTTCAATTAATCTTCACAATAACTATGAGAAAGGTCCTTTCTAGTCCATTTTATAGACAGGAAGCCACAGTTCTAGGGAGCTAAGGGCTTGCTCAAAACCACATAGCTACTTAGCAGAGGGTTGGGCCCTAGACTCATGGACACCTGGCTTCAATTCTATGTCCTCCCTCTATGACATGCTACTCTACAACCTAAAGCCTAAGAATACCAGTGCCATGACTGATGTTTACCAAACATAGCCACTCCCAGGAAAAACTGCTAACAATACTCACGGCCAATTCTTTTCCTAAGTTTGAGTATTTTCAAGAGTTAATTTAGCCAAATTATATTATTATATTGTGTGCATGTATAAATATGTAGCAACATCCCACCATTATATACAACTATAATGTACCAATAAAAATGTGGAAAAAAATTTTAAAAAAGAGTGAATTTACACAAAGGAACTAGGAATACCATTGTTAATATGCAATATGGAAAAAGATAATCCGTATCCTACAGATAAAAAACACACAAAACAAATAACACAACAACACAAAAACTAACAAGCAAACCAACCTTGACTTTGCTAGTACTATAAACATGATAGGTGGGAAAATTCCTGTGTCCTTGGGGACACAGCCAAGTAGTTGGGTCACTGTGAACAGTGCAGGCCTTTATCTGTTCTGTGTGCATCTCAAAGTATGGGGGAGGAAGGAAGTGGGACTGGGAGGCTTTCCTTGTATACAGATTTTTAAAAATGCTTTTTTTCCTCATATATAGAAGTTCACACCTGTTTGTTTACATTAAACCAAGGTCTATACTTTGGTAATCCTATAGCAATACACTGATGAATTCTTACATACACATTGGCTATTCTACTTTGAAAACAACTTAAAAAATCCTCTGAAAATCACAACATGTTTTGAATAGACTTCTTCTGTGTCATGGGATATTATTATCACTGTATTTTAGTTCTGTTTCTTTAACTATCAAGTTTACTTTTATAGGCAACTTAGTTTTCAAGGCCTCTTGAAGTTGCAGATTTTACCAGGAATAAAAAGCTCCAGAAAAATTAATTCATCATTCAAAATTCTGAGATTGCAGTGATTTATTCCTTATTTACTATTCATTGAGAGGTGATCTGTTAAAAATAGCATTCCAACCCCTAATACTTCTATGAGTGGGATAGATTTCCTCAAATCATGAGCATGTGGTCACGTTACTGGGAACTCTATGCACTTTCTTGGTTAATTCCATTTTGAGCTGATTCTCATCCTCCCTGTCTGCATTGGACAGTCTGTTCTTGTCCTGCTTCTGGATAGTGCTTGCAAGCTCAAATTCCCAGTGAAGAAGGGATATTTGTATGGTTTTGTCCACACTCTTTTCAGTCCCTTTAAATGCCCACCTGCATCTCTTTGAGACAGCTAGTTGAGAATATGGAATGTAGCTTGTGCCATAAAATGGAAGAAGATGTTTATAAACGACCTTAGCCTTCATGAGCACTGTATACCCTCATTATCTGAATGTCCCAGCTGAAGATAAAATTTGGCACACATCTGGCCAGGTAAAGGCACTGGAGTACCCAGAGTAAATGAGAAGCTGGATGGAAAGCATTTCTGCTGGATTGGGCACTAGCTTAGCTCTGGTTCCTTCTGGTTTCTTCTGGGGGGTAGGGGTAACTTGTGCAGAGGGTTGAAGAGGGTTGAAGCAACTTAGAATCTTTGCTCTGTTTACCAGGGATAGGAACAACTATGACCTGCCATTTCTAGAAATTGAGACTTAATGATTTGACATGGTAAAACTTTGCCTGGTCAGCATTCTGAAGGTATGAGAGGAAAGGGAGAATTGGATTACAGAGCATGGTTAACTGGAAAATAATTATTTTGCTTGTCCTTCCAATTGTTTCCTAATTATTTTATTTATAATACCTATAAGCTGTGTTACCTTCAGCATTGAATCTCTTTGATTCCCAATGATCTCAACTGTAAAACTGTGACCATAATTATGTATCTTTGTGGCACTGTAGTATGGATTAAGTGATATAATTTGTATGCCTGGAATATATGAAAAACTAAAAAATAATGGTCACTAATGCTGCAATTTCAGTATATTCATTATCATCAGAAGTAGTTTTAATATTAAGTATAAAAATACTTAGCATTTGTAAACCTGCAGAAAGATGTTCTGCAATGCATATAACTGAATGCTTAACTAAATACATTTGAGCAATATATTCACTTGGCTAACATTAAGTATCTATGATTATCAACAGCTATAGTAAAAGGTGAGAAGACAGCAAGCTAGACACAGTCTTTGACACATTGACTTATAAGGGTATTTGATGCAAAATCAGACTCATTTTCTTAAATATTTGGCTAATTAATGCCAACTAGGTGAGTTGAACCTCAACTCTATTTGCAGTGATTCAATGACTTTCCCTAAAACTAGACCCAACCTGTAATTTTCATGAATCAACAAGTAAAACTGACCATCTCAAGAAAATTTAAAAAAATGTGGAGAATGATTATAATTTGTAGATGAGCCCTGAGTATTTAAACTATATTGGACATCTGCAATCCCAGAAACTTGGGAGGTTGAGGCAGGAGGATCAACCTTTTTAAGGCTAACCTTGGAAATTTAGTGAGGTCCTGTCTTAAAATGTAGAAAGGGCTGAGGATGTAACTCAGTGTTACAGTGATCCTGTGTTCAGTCCTCAGTATCCAATAAATACATACATACATACATATATACCATCTACCAAATACAGAAAAGCTAGACGATTTATTGCACCAGAATCAACTTTGTTTTAAACACAGCATCTTCAACTGCTTCTAAGCTAAGATAGTCTAGATAGGATAAATCTGACCTGAGATTTGTGTTCAGTCAATATACTTTTATATCTTTTAAATTAATACCTATAACTCTATTTATAATAAATAATTATGATCTAAGAATATTAAGCCCTTTTGTTTGTATAATAATTTCTTTTCAAATAACAAATTATTTAGTATATTTTGATTCCATAAAAGTCATGTTCAGAATTATTAGAACATGCATATACCTCATTTCATCTCTTACTAAGTGAAGCCTTAGCTCTGAATTTGCTTTTTCATAATTTTTTGGAACTTCTGCATGTCCTCAGTTTCAGTCTCATGCACAAAGCCATCAGTGATTTTCCAACTCCTATAGGCATGTGAGCTCACGAGACCAGTGAGAATAGCTATGAACTGGGGAGAAAGAAATTCTAAAGCTTCAAAATAACCTCATTTCACTTAGCATGCAAAGAGTGTTTAAGGAGAGTTAAGAATCAAATTCATGAATTATAATGTGTACCTAAAGGTAAATTTAAATGATTTATTTTGGAAATAATGGACATGGTGATACATTTTCTATATAATTTTACTATTGAAGGAGCCTCTAGGAGATAACTTCAGGTTATTTCTACAGTCCATTGCTATAAATATTTATTCAAAAATATGAAAAATATTAAGGTCACAAACCATCTGCCTTGGTCTATGTTGTTGTTGCCAACTACCAATTATATTTTGGGCTCTAAATAATACTGTATGTGACTATATATGTTGATAAATAAATAAAAATAAATGTTAAGCTATATATATGTGTGTATACACATACACACACAATAATCATTAATGATAATCAACAATGAACATTATAGAGAATTTGAGCATTGAAAGGTATTTTAAGGCTTAAATAAGCCCTGTAATTTGAAGGAGTCTTTCAGCAATTAGATACTTACAATATTACATACATAAAATACTCTTCACCTTTAAGGCTTTTATTTTCTTCAAAAAGTGTCATAGCCCAGTCCAGTGCCTTTGAAGGAACTCAGGGCAAGGACTATGCTGTTTATCTATAGACCCTCCCTATAGATACTAATTAAAAAATGGATCCTCAAGAGGTGAGTAGTGAATGAAATCAATGTTTGGTTTTTCTTCCAAATGCCAAGTATATTTTTTTACATCATACCAACCATAATTTCTACATAAATTAAGACTGAATCTTTGACGCCAAGGAGTAGATAAAATCAGGGCCACTGTCCCTCGCTACCTGCAGCAGCGCGATCGTTTGTTTCAGGGAGGCCATCATCTTCGGTCCTGTCGTCTCGGTCCCCTTTGCAGTCCATGTTTGGGCTGTAGTGTCGGGGCTTCATTAGCAGGGATTTCCTTTTGTTGACTGGGACACCCAAAGCCTGCTCTTCAGCCCTTCTCTTCTTCGCCATGGAGCAATCATATGCAACACTGTAGTGAGTGGGGCAAATTAAGAACATGGTAAAAGAGCATTTGCTGGTATTAGGAATTTGGCTTTACCCAAAGCCTTTGGAAAGTTGGGACTGGAGGTTTAGGGTTAGCTATTGGCACTAACATAAACAGCCCATCCGTGGAATCCCTTGAACTGTGTGTATTCTATTTTACTGTCTATCAGAAGATATTTTTTTGAAAAAAATCATCCTTAATCCTAAGTAAGCATATGTTAATCTGTGCTTTGCTTGGCGCGACACTAAATACCCAGGGAGGGATGAAACAAGATTTGCACTGGTTTGCTAATCCTAAGAAACAGCTAATGTGAAAAATATACTACCAGATACAAAATATGCATCCACTATGGATAAATCACAAGGTTTTTCAAATAGTTATTTACCACTGAAATTGCTTATCTCTTCCACAGTTGTGCCCTGGACTGGAGATGCCACAGGTCTTGGGCAAGGACTTGAATGAAGGGGCCATTGAACGAGGGGACAAGCTATGAACATTTAATTAATCAATCCATTCCCAGTCTTTCCCCCCCACCCCCATACACACACACAAAGTGAAAAGATGCTACATAACATTCTGCCTTTTGATTCTCATCCATTTGGCACACAGAACAAACAAATAAAAAGAAGAGAAATAAGATAGGATTTCACAAAAATGGACAACAGTTTATCCTTATTTCTGTTGTCACATGGTTTTATTTGGAAATTCTCCTGAGGGGGTGGCCCTTTCAACACAGATTTCCTACATATAGCTAGGAAATGCAGGCCACTCTATGTATGAAGTTAAGACAAACATTTTCTTGGCAAGATCCTTGAAGACTAGAGAGTTTAGCCAACAGTAAGTCTATGAGAGATATTTATTAAATGCTTTCCAAAGAAAAATGCAGAAGCTTTAGATGAAAAGATCCAGAGGAAAGAATCTTGGACTCAGGGTAATATTACTAACTCCATCTCTAAAAGATGATTGAATTCTCAGCAATATTACTAAACAGTCAAAGACCTTAAACTGTTCTTGCATGAACGTCAGTGCAAAGATGATGGCCTGTTCATGAAAACAATTTGGTTATGATTGCATATGGATTCTTGAATATAGAAGAACAGATGCAAAAACATCTAAGGGAAGGTAAAATGTCATTGTTTCTCAGAAAAAAAAAAGAAAATGATGCTGGAAGCAGAGATAATTCAAGAGTCAGAAATCTTTCAAAAAAATATGAAAAATTGGAAAATTAAAAATTATTCTGACAGGAAGAAATGAGTGAGTTCCCTAAATAAACTAATGTGCTTTCACAAAATATCTCAAACCCAAATTTAAAGTGACCAGAATTTAAGTGCTCTTGAAGATGGAGCAAAAGAGGATATAACCAGATAACTATGAGAGCCAAAAATACTATGTAAGACTACTTGGCAGAGAATAGAGATGGGCATGACTGAGTCTGCTGACCTGTGAAAGAAAACATGGGGGTCTCCACCACGTAGTTACGGTGGAGAGTGGGAACAGACAAACAGAAGTACCCCATACCTGCCTTTCTGGTCAACAGAGACTCGCTTTTTAAGGAGAAGGGACAGAGATAAGGTAAGGTTACTCATCCAGAAGAAAAGTTTTTTTAGGTACGTGAAAATTTAATAATAAATTCAGTGAAATAAGCTAGACACAGAAGAAAAAAATCCATATTTCCACTTATATGAGGAATACAAAATAGTCAAATTCATAGAATTAAAGAATGAAATAATGGTTGCTAGAGGCTGAGTGAAGGGGGAAATGATTAGGAGAATCAAAAGGCATAAAATTTCAATCAAACAAGATGAATAAATTCTATAGATCTGCTGTGTAACATCATATGGATGGTAACAACGAGGTGTATTACACACTTAAAAACATGTTAACAGGGTAGATATGATGTTAAATGTTCTTACCACAATAAAATTTAAGACAATGAAGAAGGAGGAGGAGAAGGGTGAGGAGGGAGGAGGAGATTTGTTGGCATCAGGAAGCATGCATTCATGAGAGAGGCATAGTGGGGATGGTTAAGAAGGACTGGTCAGTCAGGAGAAAATATCATTTCTTTCTTTAATGATTGGACTACCTGATCCTTGCAAGGTAATAATAGATGATAATATTCACATGTTGTGAATATTACTTATAAGGATACATATTATTCCCATCATCAAATAACTTACTAATTGATGAAGCTGATATTTGAACCCAAGTCTACTGGTCTCCAAAACTGATGTTGCCTCTTTAATGCTGCTGAATTGGGAAAACAGATTTTGGGCAAATTCTGCATGCATTTGAGAATTCATTGAATTAGAACCTGGATAAAACAGTGACCTGTCTAATGAGAAGGAAGGTGTTCACCCCAAGGCCTTGCCCACTGATTTGGGTGTAGAAATACAGGACAATTACACAATCTGAAGATTTTATTGAGTTGCAGCAATGAAAAAACATAATGCAAAAATAATTAAGAATCCCCTTAGCTGGGTGCAGTAGGGCACACCTGAGAGGCAGAGGGAGGAATATGGTCAAGTTCAAAGCCAGTCTCAGCATGTTAGCAAGACCCTCAGCAGCTTAGCTAGTTCCTGTCTCAACATAAAAAAGGACCGTGAATGCAGTTCAGTGGTAAAGTGTCTTGGGCTCAGTCCCCAGTAAAAAAAAATAAATAAATAAAAAGAAAGAAAGAATGCCCTTACAGTAGTAATGTGTGTGAATACAAATATGTAACAACAAATCCCACTCTTATGTATAATTTCAGTGCATCAATAAAAGGAAAAAACAAAAAACAACAATTCCTTAAATGGATAGAAAAAGTAGCTGACCCTGATGAGATGATTTTGGGGGGACAAGGGATTTGGAAATTGAACTCAGGGGTACTTTACCACTGAGCTAGATCGCTGATCATTTTTGCTTTTCATTTTGAGATAGGGTTTCAATAAGTTGTTGAGACTGGCTTCAAATTTGCAATCCTCCTGCCTTAGTCAAGCATGTGCATCTCACACCTAGCAAGATGATTTTTAACGGTAATAAAAACTGGGCTCAATATTTATGTCAGAATAATAATTGTGCAAATGTGAGATAAAGGAATAGGTAAGGTTTTATTAAAAGTACAAGTTTGGTTTAAAATAAATCATGGTATTTGATACTAAGGGCATCTGAAATATCTTCAGTAATCCTAACCCATGTAATCTGCAACATCAGTTGAATCTGTTCAAACATCAAATTTCTCCTCTAGTGAATGGAGACGATAATTTCTATATCACATATTTGAGGATAAAGGAGATAATATCTGTGTTGACAGTGACAAAAAAAGAGGTAAAGATGGAGCCGTCTGACTCCCTGCCCAGTGCTCCCTGGACTCCATCAACACCGCCACATGCTGTTGCTCTGCAGCTTCACCTGGCACACTGCAGAGTATGATTGCATGTATGTCTCTAAGTGCATTATACCTTTCTACATATTATTTATATTTACATAAATTACATCAGATTTACACATAGCATCTGCATTAAATCTCATATTCTGTACATTTCTCCTTTGCAAAGTACTCACAGCCCAGGCAGCATTTGGAGCTAAAATGAAAGGCTTCATAATAAATATTACCCTTTGTGTGTGCATGGAAAATGGTCCCTTTTCTGAGTTTTCCCTGAGGGCACACTATTTTGGCTTTATTGTGACACTTCACTGTGACACTGCAATGAGGGAAAGCCATGCTTTACATGTCACTGAGAGAAATGCCACAAAATGCTAACATATCTTCTCAAGGTTGCCAGAAATCATTTCCACTGGGTTGTTTTCCCATCTGCGGAGCTCTGAAATGTTAAGGAAATAAATGAGCTCTATTATCTATATTTTTCTAGTAGATGAGAAAGAAAGAGAGAAAAAAAATACATTCAGCTCTGCATTTATTGTTCTATTCAATCAAACTGTTGCTTTAAACATCCAGACACTGCCCGCCCCCCAACAGGGAACTTTATCAGTGCACCAAATACTTTCAACACCATATTTCATGTTTTAATATTATTAAAATATATTTAAAGGATCTGTATTTATAGACCCAGATTCAGTTCTGGAATCATGTTTAGGACAAATTCACTGAACTTTCAGATTTCAGAAACAACAACAACAACAAATTAGAGAACTGCAGATTCCTAAATTCTATCCAATAAGCAGTCTTCCAGCTTTTCTGGTAATATATTCTCAATGCAAGTTATCACAAGATAAGAAACCAATTTAAAAAGAGTAGGTCCACCAATTGATATAGCCTGAGTCCCTCAAAAAAAGAATTATACAGAAAAAGAAATGGAGATTATAAAACCCTGAGTCTAAGGAAACCAATTATGTTCCAACATTTTCATGGAAAACTCAATGCAGGAATTTCTGATTTCTTTGAATAAAGCAGAATATCACAGACTCATCAAAAGGGGCTAAAAAGTATGAATTTGAGTCAAGAATAAAAAGGCTCACAGGTAGAGAAAAAGGTATAATGACTGAAAAGGGAAAAAGTATTATTTTGCAGAGACATGATTGTGTGTTTGAGGGAAATCCAAAAGAATCTACAGATAAAATCTTATAGTAAGGAAATAAATCTAATAAGGTTACTATTAAAAATTAATTGTACTTCCCTAAACCTGTAACAATTAGAAAATAAAAATGAAAAATAAAAACCATTACAACAGCATAGAAATATGAAATCCTTGGGGTAAGTCTTACAAAAGAAGTATAAAATCCATACAAAGCAAAGAAAATATTGAGAAAATTAAAGAAGATCTAAATAAATGAAGATGTACATATAACAAATTACTTAGTATAGCAGAATTTCCGTTCTCCCCAAATTTATGTTAGATTCAGTGTAATACCTATCAAAACCCTAAGAGCATTTTTAAAAAAGAAATTAACAAGTTAATTCTATAATTTCTGTGGAAATTACTAAAAGCAAGAACAGTAAAGACAATCTTGAAGAAGAACAAAACAAAGTTGGAAGACTGCCAGTC